ACTGAGGTAGCAATATTTTTATCAGACATAATAGACTTTAACACAAAAGCTATAACAAGAGTCAATGAAGGAAGCAGCAATTCCACTACTGGGTATTTATCCTAAGAAACCCAAAACACGAACTTGAACAGGGATCATTGTTTACAACAGCCAAGATATTTTCTTCTGCCCTCACTCTGAACACACAGACAGGCCACTTCTGACTACCTAGTATCAAACACTCTAGTCTTTCCAAAGAAATTCACTTTGAGTAAGCCTAACCACCCCACACCCTACAAAGAAACTTTGATGATCCATGCACACGGTAATAAATATACACACAAACCAGTATACGTGTGCAAGACTCATAGAAATATCTCAGAAAAAACATGTATGAAACAACTTCAAAACACCAAATTATCCTTATCTAACGAGTCACATCCACAAATAGTAATGAATAACTATACCTCACATCTCAGATACAACATGTAAACACTATTCTCCCACCTTCTGTATAACACAGAAACCTACCTCTCCATCAAATACATACATACTTGCTTCTGCAAATATAGAAAACCCTAATAGACCCCTAATGGAAAAGATAAACACATAGCTCCAGCAAATATTCCTCCAAATGGCCATGGCCCTTGAATACACACAAGCTCAATACACACACAACTCTCCACGAGCCCCAAATACCCCACAATGAGCCAGTAAAACACAAATATGCAATCATATCACCTTATATGTCTCAAATACATATAAGGTGCATTTACCTCACACTCCCAAATTCTCATGCAGAATTACTTTTCCAACCCACAGAATACACAACCACACGAACACTACATCAAAGCATAAGAACACCACATAACATTAGGATACACAGTACCGACCAGTGTACACAACCCCTGAAATCAAAAAATGAAAAAATACACATAATCATACAACATGTCCTGAATACATAATGACCCTTCTACATTCCTCAAATAAAAACAAAAAGATCATACACTCAAGCTAGTGAACAAAAACATTTTTCACATATGCATATGACCTTTCCAAAACATTAGATCAATCCCCAAATACACAGGATGCGAGGCGGGGGTGGGGGGGGAAGAACGGATAACTATGCTCCACCCACAAACACAAAATACAAACACCTAACCACCAACTCCTTGAATATACATGCACTACATCTCAACACCCTCCAAATACAACACTCAGTCCTACACACTCTTACCAAAAACAGACATGATCTCCTCTTAATCACAAATATCCACAGACAAAACCAACTCGCACATTTCAAGACACAATCAGATTCCTACCAATCAATTAAAAACTACAAACCCCATCCCTGCTCCCAAGTCCATGATTTGACAACAGACTGCATTGCCTTTAAAGCCAGCAAAGTCACTTACTTCATTGGCAAAAGTGCAGTTTGAACATAAGTATTGGTTGATATTTCTCGTAAATCTATCAGAAAGTACATGAAAGCTTCAATCATTTCCACTCATGTTCAATGCCTTGAGCTACTTCTTGCTGAACAGAGGATCATTTTCAAATTCAGAAAAACGAAACTGCCCCGCAGCTCGTGTATTGTTCAGAATACAGGAGACACAGGATGACCCTGAGATATCAACAGCTTGCACACATTAGATACCACTGTAAGCCCGGCAATCACTGAATCCTCCTTCCAGTGAGTTCCCCTGGTGCCAATTCCATGCTGTAAACACCACCAGAAGTGAGTGGGGTAGGGGCAAGAACAAAGACTCAGGGCACAAATAGCCCACAGCATGAACAACAGTGGAGTGGGGGGATACCTAAGTGGGGAAGAGTCCAAGCATCCCTTACCTCCTCATTTATATAACTCACTCCGGAGGCTGCCATGCCAGACCTCGAGCCAAGCAGTATGGCAGTTGGGCCCCACCCCTCCTTGATGCACCCACCAGAGCCTACTGGCCACGATGGCCTCTGGGATCAGGTGCAGGGCAGAGCCCCATCCCCAGTGCATGGGTGCTTGGGTCTGTCCAGGTTAGAGGCATGCCCACTCCCCGACCCCCTGTGCAGGGGAGGAAAGACAGGGCAGTGTGGAGTTGGGGGCCTTCATGCAAATATTCTCCAGCAAGCTTTTCTTGTAGTGGTCCCTGTTTCAGACTGAGGAACATGAAAGGAGCACTTAGGATTTTAAAATTGCAACTGTGCTATCCATGGTCTTAGACACAGCCCTTCCTCCTGAAACCATGTTGGAGAGGTCTCCCTAAAGCACACATCTTCAAACTGGAGCAAGTGCCTTCATGCACTTTGGACTACATTTCCATGGTTTCTGAAAATAGTAGGCCCTGCCTCCAAAATTGTCATTAAACAATTCTGACAAGAGAGGAAAAAATCTATCTGGCAAAGAAATTTAGACTTGGGATACATGTGAAGAAAGACTTTAACATCACTTTCCTCCTAGAGTTTTTCCAAAAGCACAGACTGCATTGGAATATTTTCTCACAGTACTTATTTAGTTCATGGAGGTTTTTCAATAGATGTTGGTTCACAGATTTTCATTGCAAGTTTGCTGTGTAGTGTTGCTCAAGACTTGATTGCCTGAGCCGGTTTCTGTTCACACTGTAGTATGGGAAAAATCCACCTTCACTTCCCTCCTTTTTTTTGTATTATACAGCAGAACTTGTGTTACATTGGAGTCTTTCAGGGAATGTTCATAGTGGGGAACAGTCATCACTAAGAATATTGGTGCTAAAGCAGGGAGTGAAGCTTGTTTCCCTGGAGATTCAGCTGCAATCCTCCCAAGTTGTCACAACTCACCTCTGTTGACCAATTTCCTAAAAATCCTCTCCTCTCACAACACAAAACACAAATGCCCATTCATATCATTTGACCGTGATAAACTGACATTTATGTACCACGTGAAAATAAGAATCAACAACGTTTCTAAGGAGTACAGCGGTGATTGACGTGCAGATGGAACCACATGCAATGATGAGTTAGATGCTGAAGAGCAGGGCTCTATGTGTGAGGCAGACAGGAAACTTGGGAGCCAGTGAGCAGGGCTTCCAGGCTCAGCCTGGCAAACTGAGGCTTAGGTGGATGAGGTTTCTGTGAATGCGGGTTGGACATGGTGGATAGAATTCTGGCTTAGTTTCACAGTGCACATCCATCTCATGTGCAGTGCAGTTTTAACACCTAGGAACACTGGAGGTTAGGGTATTAAGCCTTGTTAGCACATAGAGACATAAGATTTTCTGTCTTCCCATCCCTTACTTCTGTCCTTACTGCCACTGAGCCTACATGTTCATGCTGTTTGACAACTTTTGCAAACTCCTCATCTTCCAAACAGCACGCCTGTTTCACATGTGTGTGCAATTGTGTTTTGTGGTGGAGCCAATATGCACGCTTGAATCCCTTTAATCCAAGTGATTTTTCTTATGGGGGGAGTAGCTAATAATAACCTAATAAGTTACTTGTTTTGTAGAGTTCCCAGATAAAGTGCAAGAGGCCAGTTAAAAGTAAATTTTACAAAAGAGTGAACAAATTTACAGTAAAGGTATATCCCAAATATTGCAGGGGAAACAATTATCCTGAAAACTAATTCATTGTGTATCTGAAATTCAAATTCAGTTGGGTGTCATTCTTTGCTAAATCAGACCTCCTGGAAAGATTTCAAGGAACCACTAACATGGGCATCATGCGGGAAAGAAGACTGTGCTTTAAATAATGAGGGAAAGAGGACCCTTTAAGTAATGATTTTCTTGCCAAGGAGCATGATGTTAAACTTTGAACAGCAGGCATTGAAGCGACATTGGAAGGAGCGGTTTTCCTCCCTGGTTCCCATGTGCTCCCTTGACAGCCCCCTGCATGCAAATGATTTCCCTGGGACCCTGCCCTGCACTTGGCTTCACCATTGCCCCATCCTGTAGTTTCTGCCGCTGCTATAGCACCTGCCCTGCTAGTACCTTGCAGTTCAAGGTGGCCAGCAAAACCAGCAGCAGGAGCTTCTTCCAATGCTGTCCTGAGCTGGTTTTGTCGTAGAATGCCTCTGCCGAGACACCTCCCGAAGAACAGCTTCTCACAGTGGCTAAAGTGCAAGATTCTGGGGAGCTTGGGGGTGTACAATTCAGCAAGTTCTGCAAGAGCAGCACCACAGCTGCTGCTCTCATATTCAGTGAGGCCTGTGGTGGGCAGGGCCAGACCCTTCACTGGCTGCTCTGTCTCAGACCTAGGGCCAGTGACCGCTTCTTGTCTCTGCTATTCTATTCTGTGGAGTTCTCTTTACCTTCTACTAGACAGTCCCTCCTTGTTTCATGCTTTTTTTATCAGTCATTCTTTGTATGGGCATTCCCTATTTATGTTTCTCTCCCTGGAGTAGATCTTGAGTCATAAATGTCATAATCATGCAAGGGAAAATGCTCTATGTCAGTGAAATCTGGTGAACTACAGCCACAATAATGCATGGAGCAACCTTCAAAGTTAGTGAAAAACTCAAGTCCTAGAATAATGCATATGGTATAGTCTTACTTATAAAAAGTTCAAAATACATAAGGTCAAAAACACATAGGGGTTCTAGCCAGGTGGTAAAATTATAAATAACAGGACAGAGCAACATGAAATTCAAGACTGTGAGAATCTCTGTCAGAAAAGGAAGGCACACTGGTGAACAGTACTTGAGGGAACCAAGGATATTGGTGATGTTTCATTTCTTCATTTGGTTATAGGGTTGGGGGGGTCTACACATGCTGTTTTATTTATTATTTTTCACTGTACATATTGTCTAACTAGTGTGATAAGAGAGTAGTCTCTCAGACTCAGTGGCCACTCAGCACTTGGGGCCTCTGGTTTAGAGCAACCCTGTGAATTGTTCCTTGGGCTCTTGTACAAACTGACGTGCCCTGTGTGTGCATTGACAGGCGTAGGTTTAGAAGTGTTGGATTAGACTTGATTCCCTGTTACCCCAAACAAGTGTTTTAACATATTAGGCTCTTCTCCTTAATTTTAACACACAGTTCAGCTACAGAATGAACTTCTGTAATTATAGAATACAAATCATCTACCTCTCTTTCCTGACCCATGGGGAGAAAGAAAAAAATACTAAGATGTCCACAACTTTAATTTTTAGCTTGTTGATACACCCATGATGGTGTTCTGAGTGACAGAACATACCTATTCATTATGGGGGCTCTACAGAAGCACCTCAGGCTACTTCTCTCAGAGTCCCTGCTGCAGCCTGCACGGTGAAGGCTGCAATAGAAATCTGTCTCTTCACTTCTCCCCAGGCCTTGGAAGGGTCTGCCTTGTTTTCAATATCAAACAGAGCATCATAAATTCCTGGGAATGACTCCCCAGCGTACTTGTTGTGGTTGCTTGGTGCATAGATGACATGCCTGTTGATTAAAAAAAAAAAGTTGGCCATTTATTAGTTGTCCAATGATATATACAAGTAAAAAACAGAAGCATGCAACAAGTCCTGGGTCACACAATTCTAATTTTATGACTGCAGCAAGCCACTTCTCAACTCAGCTTCTAGGTTCAATCATCTCCAAAGACTGGTCTATGGAATATGCATTACTTAGTTACATTTTGACTTTAAACAGGTGACTTAAAGTGGTTTTGAGCAACAAAAATAACAACAGCAAAAACAGCTCATCATCTGCTATAGACTATGGCTGACAGACTTTACACATAATTTTTGTAATCCTTAAAAATGAACTCTAAAAAAAGTTACTATTAGTACTTCATAGAAGAGGAAATTGAGGCCTGAGAGATTAAGTGATTACGTGCTCAGTCTCAAGGCACTTTGCAAATATGTGCTGACTGTTCACTACACCACTTTATCCCCTATAATATGGCAAAGTTGACTCTTAATGTGCTATCTGGGACCAGCCAACCATTTCATTTTCCTTTTTAAAAACAAGTCACGTACACATGGAAAATGCCTGGCATGCTTTTCTTAAAGCATGAAGAATTATTAGAAACAGTTCTAATGTTCAGTCTGATGTAAGCAGAAGGAGGCGTTTTATTGAGAGATTTAGGTCAGTCTTACTATAGCCCTGACAGGGAAGAACAAGCTCCAAAGTAAATTAGTAAGAAGAAAGGAGGCACAACCATGCCACCATTGGCAAACCAGTCACCCTGTCTGGAAAATGCCCTTACTCCCAATTCCAATCCTTTGATAATCCTTATATATTGACCTGTGATGGTCAATGATAAATTAATTCTGTAATACTTGGTATGATCAACCTGGGAACAGAAATTTGTAGCTGTCCAAAACAGAAAAAAATGTCAACATTAAAAAAGTAAATAAATTATTATATTATATATTGTATATATTTATGTATAAATATAGGGGTGAGCAAAAGTAGGTTTACCTTGTATGAAACGGTTTATTATATTAGTTTATTAATTATTGTATTATTTACTTGTATTACAACTGTAAACCTACTTTTGTCTACCCCTGCATATATTCGTTATATCTTATGTATATACATAAACATAAAATGAGAGATGGGCTAAAATTATGTACATTAAAATATGAACATGATTTTATAAATGACTGATGGGATTGAGGAGATTTTTATTTTCTCCTTGTGACTTTCTGAATCTTCTAAGTTTCTTACAATCAACATATATTATTTTATAAGCAAAAACAAGACACTAAAAGAAAAGATACATAATTATCATATTACATTATATCAAGAAAAAATAGTACATCATATACAAAATGCATTTTAACATTTTCTATTAGCTTGCAAGAAATCAATTATGATATTATTTTTCTACAGTGCAAAAAAAAGCAATGATATTAAAATGAGTCATTTCCCCCCCCTTACCTATAGAAAGGCCTGTCTGGTAACCCTAAAGGATCAATAAATGCTCGTTCCAGAAACATGAGTTGATCATTCATAATTCTCAATAATATTACGCTAAAAAGGAAATTAATACAGTTATAACCTCATGAAAATGTGTGCAATACTTAGCGAACAAAAAAATTAGAACAAAACTAAACAATGCTAATATATTTTAAATTCCTGTAGTTTCAAATTAAGAACAATAACGTAGTTACATTTTAAAAACTCTATAAAATACTATTCTGCTGAGGCTTAGAAAACTATAGAAACAGTTATGTGTGTCAATGGGAAAAAATAAAAGTGACTTTTATTTATATTGAAATAATCATTTATTGATAAACCCAAGCAGTTAAACATAGGCAAAACTTTTTTTATCTTAGATAACTTATTAATCTGCTATGAAAGCAATTTCAATGTATGCACACACATTTCTCTCTCTCTCTTTCTCTCTCTTTCTGACCTTGTGGCTACCACTGAAAATCAGTGAACATTCCTTATACAGGGAGATTCAATTTGAAGTAACCCTGGGAGGTCATGCTCAGAGGACCAATTGTGTATATGGGATCTTTTCACTCCAGAAACATGCTGGCTTCCCTCGGGAGACTAGAGAACTATCCGTCTTTGGGATGAATATGATGTGAGCATGAAGGTAACAGGGAGTCAATTGTATATCCTTTGATGGGTCAAGGAATAATTAAAGAAGCGTCTCCTCCTCAGATTTCAGTTTTAGTTTAGAAAGTCGACATCCAGTTTAATTTACTTTAGCCAGCATTTACTATTGTCATGCATGACACTGCTCTAGAATCCCAAACTTGGAAACAATAACACAGAGACAGAAACTGTACCTTAGTATCATTTGGAACAAATAAAACAAATACAATACTCAAAGAAGTGAAAGCCATAATCTGACCTACAGATAGTTTGCCAGACAGAGAAAATATCATTATTTTAAGGATCTCTTTAAAGTTTATTTCTCGTTGTTGACATTTTTGCAGGTAAGAAATTTGGAAAGGATTATAAAATATAAAAAACTCTATATTCATCACAAGATAATACCATTATTATATAAATTGGTTTACTTGTTCTCTATGTTCAATAAAAATATAATCAACTATATTTATAATCTTATATTCTTTTTTTACTTCACATTTTATGATAAATATCTTATTGTGTTTCCTTTATAGTCATCAATTGTAATGCTTATAAATGTTTAAATTGGTAGACACCTAATTTTTTTAGTAATTTCTTTCCTCTTGCATATTAAAATTATTTTTAATTATTGCATATTATAAATCACATTTTCTCGGAGAAGACTTTTTTCCTTTCAAACTTGGAACTCTTTTCTTAAGAAAAAGATTCAAGAAACAGGAGTTCTGGCCAAGAGGGAGGTGTAAGTAGATACACTTTTCATCCTTGCACAACCAAAAGAAGGACAACAACAAATTTAAAAACAGAAAATAACCAGAACTGCCAGGAAATATAATTGTATGGAAGTCCAATAATCAAGAAGTTAAGGAGGAAACATTCATCTAAATTGGTAGGAGGGATGAAGACTGGCAGCCAGAGGGGCTGCAGAGGACACACAGCAAGGTAGCAGCTGGAGGACTGGGCGGTCCCACATTTGTGTGCAGATGAACTGGGAAGAAGAAGTGGGGAGTGAGACAGATGGTACAACCCAGGTTTCCAGTGCAGAAAAAGAAAGCCTCAAAACCTCTAGCTGTAAAAATTTGTGGGGGGTGGGACAGCAGAAGAAACTCCCAGCCTCATAGGAGAGTTCATTGGAGAGACCCACAGCATCCTAGAATGTACACAAACCCACCCATCCTGGAATCAGCACCAGAAGGGCCCTATTTGCTTGTGGATAGCAGGGGAAGAAACTGAAAAGCAGGCTGAGAACAGAACAAGTGGCACTGTGCCCTCTCTGACACTTTCCCTACATATGGTACCACAATGCAGTGACATGGATTGCCCCGCACCAGAGAGTACCTAAGGCTCTACAGGGACCAAAAAAATATGGTCCAAATGAAAGAACAGATCAAAGCTCCAAAAATAGAACTAATTGACGAAGCGATAGCCAACCTATCTGATGCACAGTTCAAAACACTGGTAATCAGGATGCTCACAGAAATGGTCGAGTATGGTCAGAAAATAGAGGAAAAAGTGAAGGCTATGCAAAGTGAAATAAAGAGTATACAGGGAACCATGGTGAAGGGAAAGAAACTGGGACTGATTTGGAGCAAAAGAAAGAAATAAACATTCAACCACAATGGAATGAGGAAGCAAGATTCAAAACAATGACAAGAGGCTTACGAACCTCCAGGACAACTTTAACATTTCCAGCATCTAAATCATAGGGGTGCCAGAGGAGAAGAGGAAGAACCAGAATTTGAAAACTTATTTGAAAAAATAATGAAGAACTTCTTGAATCTGGAATAGGAAATAGACTTCTAGGAAGTCCAGGAAACTCAGAAAGTCCTAAGAAATTGGACCTAAGGAAGCATACACCAAGGCACATCATAATCACGTTAGCCTAGATTAAAGATAAGGAGAGAATCTTAAAAGCAGCATGAGAAAAGGAGGTAGTTATTTACAATGGAGTTCCCATCAGACTGTCAAAAGAGACCTTACAGGCAAGAAGGGGCTCACAAGAAATATTCAAAGTCATGAAAGGCAAGGACCTACATCCAAGATTACTCTATCCAGAAAAGCTATCAGAATGGAAAGGCGGATAAAGTGCTTCCTAGAGAAAGTCAAATTAAAGGAGTTCATTGCCACCAAGCCCTTATTATATGAAATGTTGAAGGGACTTATCTAAGAAAAAGAAGATGATTAAAAATACAAACATTAAAATGATAACACACAACTATCAACAACTGAACCTAAAAAAAAAAAAACTAAGTACACAACTAGAATAGAAACAGAATCACAAAAAGGGAGATCACCTGGAGGCTTATCAGTGGGAAAGGGGAGAGAATGGGGGAAAAGGTACAGGGAAGAAGAAGCATAAATGGTAGGCACAAAATAGACAAGGGGAAGTTAAGAATAGTATAGGAAATGGAGAAGCCAAAGAAGTTATATGTACAACCCGTGGACATGAACTAAAGAGGAGAATGCTGGTGGGATAGGGGTTCAGGGTGGAAAGGATTAAGAAGGAGAAAAAAATAAGACAACTGTAATAGCATAACAATAAAATATACTTTAGGAAAGAAGAGATGATGTGGGAAGGGTAACTCAAAAAAACAAAGAAAGAAAATTATTCAAGAAACAAAAATATGGCAAAATGTAAGAACTATGCAATGGCTGTTAAAACTTCAGTAATATGTAATTCTATTTTTCAAAAGGTCGTAAGTCACAGTGCTTCAGTGAACACCCTGTAGCAATGGGTACAACCAAATTTAATAGTAACTAATTTGATGTGCAAATAGATAAAATTTCCATTTGTATTTTTGAGTTATTAATGAATTTGAATATTTTTATATGTATTTCTGCATAGGTGGTATCCTCTTTTAGATTTGTTTGCTTTGTCCACTGCCAGCATTTCCAAATTTGTTTTTTGGGATTTTCTTATCAGTTTTCAAAAGAAATTTTTTTTAAATGTGTATATGAAGCAGGAGATAGCGTAAGAACTCTGAGGCTGCACTGCTATTGCTGGCCAGCATCTAGAGTCCTGGTTGCTAAGCAATGCCTTTTAGCATTATGTAGAATAGATAGCAAACCAAGGCTGGGAAGTGGTGGGAGACATGTCCCACCACTGCAGCAGTCCTGAGCCTGGTTTCATAAGATTGCCAGGCATTCTGAACAATACAAGCAAAGATAGTACAGGAGAAGGGAAGAGTCCTTGAGACAGGGCTTCAGTAAGCTTCTGTAACAATCTTACTAAGATTGTCAGGTGTCCTGAGTATCCCAAGGCCTAGAAGGTGGAAGGGAAGACCTTGAAACGCTATGTACCATTTCCACTGTCTGGAAAAGAACCCCCACACAAACCTACGTGTGGGTAGTCATGTCCCCCCCAGGGGAAGCTGGCACCACTTTAACCCGCCAATCAATATGCAACTCCCTCACTCTCATCCTACCAGCTATGTAAGTCCTCAGAATAAAGGACCTGAGGAATGAAGGACCTCTCGTCACCCTTGCTCTTGCCATCCCTGCTCTTGCTTTTCTCCCCAACCTTGGCAAGCCCTGCTCTCTTCCATTAGAATGTATCACTAATAAAACCTGCTTGCACATGAATAGAGTTGCTGATCTGTAATTCTTTATTGTTTCAGTAAGAAGAACCACATTTCTCCTGTTAACATACATTACTCCCTTTCCAAATTTGGTAGAAAAGAGGCTTCCCAGGCTTCTGCCTTGGAGAGGAATAGAAGTCTTCCTGAGGATACCGAGAGTTCTCCTGTCCTCCCCACCCCAGTCCCCCAAGCCCATCAATCCTCTGGGTATTAATCAGGAGACAGGCTGTCCTACAGGCACTTCAGAAGAGGTTTCCCACTCTTTTATCTTTGTTATTGATAATTTTCATGTTATTTACCAGTAAATATTCTCAATTCTGATTGTAGTTTCATTTCCCTGTTGCTTCTAAACTTGGCATTTCTCTTTCATGAAATTTTAATTTTTAGTAACGAATTCCACACCGGTTACCTATGTTTTCATAAAATTTGAAGTGAGACTTGGAACTCATTAATTAGTTGCTATAAAAGTTTATACAGCCAGGGACGAGAACTAAGGGGGGTGGAAATGGGAGGGAGGGGGGGAAGGGGCGGGGGGGGGAGGGAACTGTACTTGAATTTAAATTTTGTTTATAAGCAATATTTTTGAATATGTCTTTCCCCATTGATTTTATATATCCTTCATTACAAATACATCCTTATTTAGCACTAGCTTATTTTTGGACCTTTTGCTTTTATCTTTCTATCTATTATTGCATTATTCCCCAAGGATTTGATGTTTGTATTAGCATATGTTTAATATAAAGTAGATGTTCACCCTCAAAATTCTACTTTAGAAATGGGAGGGAGGTGGGGAGCACTGGGGGGGGGGGGGCTGGGATGGGAGTAAAAAGCAGAAAACTGTACTTGAACAATAATTAAATAAATTTTAAAAATTCTACTTTAAAGAAAGTTCCTTAATATTCCCACATTATTTTTCTCCCATCTTAAATATCTGTTCAAATTATGTTTGGTTTTTGTGACTTTATGCAGAATTAATCTTAAAACAATGGCTTTACAATAACTGTTATTTCAGATAAATAGAATTTTTCCAGATGGTGGGAGTGGAAAAAAAGAATTCTTTGTGGGGGTAATGACATTAAGAAGAGGGAGAAAGAAGGTGTGTTCAGAGAATAGGAGAATTTGATGTAAGCATGATGGACATATACTGAAAGAACAGGAGATAAATCTGGAGAATCTGGATAAATCTGGACCTTGAAGAAGGTCCTCTACTTTTTGGAGAGGTGGGGATTTTGTACTGATCAGTTGGTAGTAAAGGAGCCACCAGCTTTTCCCAGCAGCAAAGTACCAACTCAGAATGTCAGAAATATGTCTTTGAGAGATACGGCAGCCCTGTATGCATCAGAGTGAAGGGACAGAAGGAGCAAAAAATGTGCAAAGATATTTCAACAAAGATGTCAATATGCATCACTTTTTACTTATATTTATTATATACCCAACTTGTATATGTAGAACATACTTGCTTTTATCCATATCTTGGAGTCTCTCATTGAACTTAGAAGCAATTTCTGTGAAGTTCTTCACTGCAGAAAAAAGTGAGTCTGAAAGAGAAATCAGGACCTAAATGGCATTGCTCCGTAGCCTAAGTATGCGAACAATATAGGAAGCTATTCTTTGTATTTTATAAGGCATTTATATTTTACATATTACAAGATGAACATGAGTGAAATAAAAAATACATTTGTATACATGAACAAAATATTTAATCATATGGAATAGCAATAAATAACAGATGGACCTAAAGTAGGTCATCATATTTTAGGAATTAACAGAAACATACGGATAATGAATTGAGAAAGAGGAAGTGTAGCGTACCAAATGACACACTGTATGTTTTCATTTCTTGTGGATGTTTCATTGAAATATTGTAAATATTGTCAGCATACTTTCTTAAAACTACAGCATAATCTTGACAGTCAAAAGGGAGCACTATGGAGTTGGCTAGTTCAAATACCATCCCTCCTCGAACCTGGGCCACAGCATGGTGATACTTAAAAGTTGGATCATAGAACTTTTCCACCAATTCATATGTTTCATAAACACTGTGATACAGTGGATAGCTCCTGAATTTGTTTATTTCCTACAAAAAAATAAAGGTAGTTCTTGTAAGATAGCTTATTACATAATACATAGTGCCATATTTACTATTAATATTGGTAGGACTATTTTGGTTAGTAATGAATAAAGGAAAGTATTTAAGTACCTCAATAAGCCACTTACTAAAGGGTTAATATAATATTAAAACCTGACCCAAGTTTTCACCAATTAAAAAATATGTGTGTGTAACATTAATGATATTATAAAAATTATCTTGGAAAGACCTAACAGTCTTGTTTTTAAGAGTACAGGAGATGTGAAAATGTTTCTGAAACAAAGAGAGAATATGTTACATTTGAGTAAAAATCTTAAAAAGAAAGAATTGGTAGAAGAAAATAAGCATTATACAATATCATAAAGGGCAATGCTGCAAATTATTTAATGATTGAAATTCCACAAATGAACAATCCCCAACAAGCAGTGTGCTGAAGAGTCAAGAGTCTGAGCAGGAGAGTTTCAGGAGTGAACCCTAAATCTCACTAAGGAGAGAAAAGAGATACTAGGACAGTTTAAGAAACCAAGACACACCTCAAAGGCAAAAGGCAAAGCTTTTTTTTCAAACTGTGAATTGCTGATTCATGTCTTTCCCCCATTTTTTAGCTGCATATTTTTTTGTTGATATAGAAGAACATTTTATATACATATGTCAAAAAGACTAAGACCCTGGAATCAGCCTGTCAGAATTTGAATGCAGACTTAGGACTTAATACTAAATAACTTGAGGTGGTTAGTAATCCAAAGATAATTAAGCTTTCTTTGCTGCAGTTTTCTTGAAGGTAGAATGTAGATAATATTAAAATCTACCCTCAACACTACCCTATCTAACCTTGTCTAATTTCCTGCCCCAATGGTAGGAGATTAAAAATTTCTTTTCTGGAGAGAACAACTAGTCTAAGAGAAAAGATCAATAAATTCTCAGAGTTGTTTTTCTCCCAGTGAAGCAACTGGAACAGACATTCTTGATCACTCTCCTGTGAAGATTCCCATTTGACAAGTCCCACCCTTGTATATAGGGTTTCAATCAGCTTTTTATGGTCTCACTCCTAAATAACACAGATAGCTAAAAATGACCAGGCATTAGAAGTTAACTTGAAAGATAAAGACCAAACACACAAACTAAAATAAAATCAACTCACAGTAAGGAGGTAATGAAAGAAATAGAGGGGATCCTACAGCTAAGATTGCTCTACCCAACAAAGACATCATTTAGAACCCAAGGGCAGATGAAGAGCTTCCCAGACAAGAGGAAACTAAAGGAGTTCATCATCACCAAACCATTATTATATGAAATGCTAAAGAGACTTATTTAAGAAAAAGAAGATCAAAATTATGAACAATAAAAATGGTAAAAATATGTATCTATCAACAATTTAATCTAAAAAACAAAATAAGCAAACAAAAAGAACAGAGACAGAATCATGGATACAGAGAGCATTTTGATGCTTGCCAGATGGGAGGAAGGTGTGGGGGAATGGGTAAATTGGTGAGGGGATTAAGAAGTACAAATAAGTAGTTACAGAGTAGCCCTGGGGATGTAAGGTAGAGTATGGGAAATTAAGTAGCCAAAGAACCTATACATAGGACCCATAGACATGAACAATGGTGTGGGGATTGCTTGAGGTAGTGGGGGGTGCTGGGTGGGGCCAGGCAAAAGGAGAACAATAAAAAAAATCAGTAAAAAATGAATGCCAGAGTTGAGAAAAATATTACAGAAAGGAGAAAAAGACAGGAATAGAAACAAAAAGAAAAGATAAATACATCAGAAAAAAATCATCAAATGATAAACTAATAGTAATTCAAAAATGAGGAAAAAAGGAAGAAATAATAAAAGACAAGACATTTTCTCCAAATTCAAGACACAGTTTTCAAGACCAATGTGGGGGCAACCTTGCCTGCAAAGCTTCTGTTTGACACTGATGAAAGTGAAACTACTAAGACATGATCTGTTTGGGGAGGAAAGGTGGCCAACCTCTCAAAGGGAAAGGGCCAAGAGCCTTTTCCTCAAGGGGCTTTTATTGGGTTCATTTACACAAGAATACAGGTAAGGATCAAACAATAGGTAGCATTCAAAGAACTATGAGGGCTTATTCCCAGTCAGGGTCCAATAGTTAACAGCTATAAATCTTTGAGGAACAAACTTTTTGCTTGGACCCATACATTTAAATGAGAGCATTCTAAACAAAGCAGGTTTTACAGGATTTTACATATTCTTTTTTAGGCCTGATCACCTGGGGAACCCACTCTTTCCATCACAGGGCTGGACCACCTTCCCCATCATAGGTTTTTAGGCTTAAGTGGATTAGAGTCAGGAAGCACTTCTCCCAGATGGAAATGGGGACTCAGCTGTGCTACAATAGCCAGGGAGCGAGTGTCCATCACTCCCTCTTTGTTGCAGCCCACCCCTGAGTCCTTCCATGATGGCCTCCCAAGTGATCATGTCTGGCTTAGGTTGACCCTCTCTGTGTGAGGAGTCTTACCCATCAAGGACATCAACCATGCTTTGGGGGCAGGGGAGTAAGCAGGGGCAGCTTTTGCTACCAGAGATAAGCTTTGTCTCCTGTGGCTCACATTCCAGAGGTTGCTCACTCAATCTTAGCCATGGGAGGCAGTTACAATTCCTGAAACCAGGCAGAGCAGTTCCCAACAGACCAAAGGGCCCATTATATACATAGTCCAGTGTATGGAAAAAATGGCACAGGCAAGGCATGTATGTAGACCAAAGACAACCGAATCCTAAAGAAAAGATACTAAAATCTTTCTTTAAAAAATATAAGAGACAAAGGAACTGAGATCAAATGGTTCCAAAATCTCAACAGCAATCTCTGAAGACTGGAAAACAGTAAAGCCATGCTATCAAAATTCTGAAGGAACAGATTTTCAACCAAAAGTTTTGTGCCCAGCCAAATTATGAAAAAATTGTATGTGGAATACATATAACATTCTCAGGCATGCAAGGTCTTTAGCTTCCGTGCACCTTTTTCAAGAAGTTCCTGAAAGATGTGCTCCAAAAAAAGTACTGAGTTTACAAGCAATAGGAAGACACAAAATCCAGAAAGCAGAAGGTCCTGTACAAAAGAGAAATGAAGGCACTCTCAGATTTCTCAGTGAAGGAAACTTTCACAGGCCAGAGCTCTACCACAGGCAGCAAGAACAAGCAGACAACCCAGAGAAGTCAAAGAAGAGTCCCCATGGGGACAATGAAATCTGCCATATCACCTGATGTGTTTGAATAGATGAAGAGTTTGTAGTAAATTAGTTATGGGCACATGGACAAAACAAACAAATAAACAGTGTTCTAATCAACAAGTGTAGTTCATAAATGTGATAAGGGTTTTACGTGTTCGGGGGTTGAGAGAAGAAGCAATATAAGAAAGCGGAATAACTATCTTCTCTAGTAAGAAGTAAATAAATACATAAAACTGTTTAATTGAAAGAATCTTAATCTGCTGAGCAGAATCAAATGTAGGACAAGATGAAAGTGGAGTAAGGGACCACACTTTATTATACATTCTTCTAGTTCTATATGACATTTTGTGAACTATATATCTATGTTACTTTGATAAAATTAAAAACTATAAAATTGTCATTATCATCAGCAGTGATAAAAAATGACTTGTATATCTCTTTATTGTTTATACCACCACTGTTATCATAGCTTTCATGTTTAATGATTGGAGATGCAATCAAATAAAAATTCAAATATTTGCAGGTCTTGATAAGAGGTTAATTTCGAATGACAATGTGTAGAGAAGACTCAAAGACAATTTTTACATTTCTTGTTTAAATAACTGGGTAAATACAATACCACTAAATGAAGCAGAAAATAAATTTAAGGGAATATGTGGAGGTTCAAGTTACAAGGCTAAGGGTCCCAGAGGCAGAACTGTCCCTGTGGTAGCACCATCTCCACCATTGAGACTTCTCCCTTCTGTTTCAATTCCTCTATTCCTCTAGTGCTTTAGTCACTTTTCTTGATTCAAAGTGATTTGTGTAGCTAAACCTTATTCATACTCTTGATGCACTTATGGATAGACTTACCGAATTTTTAGTATACCGTGCTCTGCCTGAAGCAATCCCGAGTCTTTGGAAGAACACCTCAAAATCATTACCAGATCCCAACTTGTTAATCCTTTGAGGGATAAAACTGAAGATTATTTGAGTAATTGCTGCATTGAGTACAGATTAAAGATACTTAAACTCCATTTGTACTACTATAAATACAATTTTTAGATGTATCACCTTAAACAAGAAGAAAATAATTAAGAAAATATTGGTTCTGATCACAAAGTATCTACTGTGTGAATATTTTGGGTATGATGACTATTGTTTTTTTGTGTTCCTGAACCCAGTTCTAGTGAGTGGAGCGGGAGTCTCCCCGTGCCAACAGCAAGCAACTATTCGTGAAACCAACCAGGTGTCCTACAATTCAACTCAACACTGACACTATATTCCTGGAGACAGCATTAGATTCCACAGATTAAGGGCTCATTCTCACAAGACTGCCCCACCCACTACTTTCCGACTTCAGAAGCCAGTTGTGTAAACCCAGGTTGTTACCGCTGCTTCCCACCTACCGGCCACAGATTGCAGGTGCCCACAACTCCCTCCCTGAGTTCAATTAATTTGCCAGACTGACTCACAGAACTCAGAGAAACACTTTACATACTAGATCGCTGGGTTATTATAAAAAGATACATATATATATAAAATCAGAAATAGCCAGAGGGAAGAGATGCATACAGTATCAGGAAGGAACACAGAGGTCCCAAGTTCTCCCTCTCCCTGAATCTCCACCTGTTCAACTTGCCTGACTCTCTCCGAACCCAGTCCTTTTGGGATTTTGTGGAGGCTTCATTACCCAGGCATGATCAATTAAATCATTGGCCTTAATTCAACCTTCAGCTTCTCTCCTGTCCCAGGACTGAAAGTTTCAACCCTCTAATCATGTGGTTGGTTCTCCAGGCAACCAGCCCTCTTTTTTAGGTGCTTTCCAAATGCCACTAATTAATGTAACAAGAAACACCTATGTAGCTCTCGCAGCTTAGGAAATACGTGGGTTTTAGAAGCTCAGTGCCAGAAGTGGGGCTATCTCTTATTATAAATCACAGTATAGCAATTGTATAAGTCGCTTTTAAGCAAAGATTCATAAAGTAAAGTAATAATTTCCTTCATCAGCGTATCTATATTTGTTGTATATGAAACAGTTAAAAGAAGCAGAGATTTTGTAAGTAATGAGATATAAAATTTTAAATTATTCATATTGTTGATAGCTATAATCTTAAACTACTGAGACATGTATTCCTCTTCCCTCACTTGTGGGCTTGGAGAAGAAATCTTCATTTCATGTGAACTCCGAGAAGGACTTTTTCTGGTGAAATGGACTCCTCATGGTCAACCCAGGACCCAGATTTTATAACCTAGAGCAGAGCGGCCATGTGCTGACAGGGGCTCCTCATGTACTCTCGTCACCTCAAAGAACCTCAGACTAAACTCTTGTTTCCTACACTACGCTGATCTTGTTTACTTGGCCTGACTCAAACATTGCAGGGAATCTCTGGTTTCCTCTTCTACATATGATTGAGACCTACTCTGTCCAATCAGAATTGCACAATTTGAATACCTCATTTACATAAAAATACTTAGTTGAGAAACTAGGTGGGAACTTTTATTGTAAAAGGTGGCTCCCCCTTGATGTGGGGTGGGGGTGGTGTAGACACAGTTTAGGTTGCTAAATTGATCTGTGTCTCCAGAGCTACAGATCCTTTGTATTCAAATAAATGCTTTTTGTTTTCTATTGCAGTCTAAAATTAATTCAGATTTACACAACCAAAACTGAAATAGTGTCTATATTTTTCTTAGAGTAGCCAAAATATTTCATTGTATAATGTTAAAAAAAATAAAATGTATAGAGTGACCAGGGGAATGAACTATGAGGGGGAATTACTTTCTACCACTATAACCTTTGATTTGTGGGCCCCGCATACACATTACCTGTTCAAAAGAGAAGCATGTTGTGATGGCCTATGTGGGGTTTAACTTCCAAACACATAGTAACATTTCATTTGTAAAGCTCAACACTGCTTTTCCTTGATCAGATGTTAGGGAATTTTGAGCAATTAAATTCTTATTATTAAAGATTAAAAAAAGATACCCTTTTATTTCCAACACAATTCCATACTAAATTCAGTAGAGAGTTTTGTCTGTCTGTTTGTTTGTTTGTTTGTTCACCTGGGCATGCCAACAAACTCTGGTGAAGGGCTTTTTTTATTCCAGCTCTCATAGAGAGATTTGCCTTCAAAGCCTTCATCAGGACTTCGGAGCTACACACGTTGAAGCAGAGAAAGAGAGAGGGGGATGGAGAGGGAGAGAGACAATGCTTATAAATCAGATGTTTTAAAATCTAAAGGTCCATTAACTAAGAAATAAATAGCTAAACTATATTCAGCAAAACAAGGGAAGCAATTCACCCATTAGTGGTCATTAAGACTTAACAATAGTGAGTATCTGACAATATGGGAAAGTACTCATGTTGTTTATTATGTATAAGTGCAATTACTATAACAATTATTTGGGAGGATTGGAAAACCGGCTACACTAAACTATACCAAGCCATTGTATTTAAAAAATGGTTATAATACAAACATTTTTTATGTCTTTTTTTAGTTAAGGGAGACTGCTCTCAAAAACATTATTTCTCCTCCTCTTATTTAAAAAAAAAGGAAAAGAAGGAAGGTAGTTAAAGGAAGGTATTCCTTTTAATATTTCTTCTTTGGCAGTAAGGTTGCTCAAGTCATTAAATAATAGATAATCAAACAAGTGCATTAACATTTTAATTAATTGAATATTTATTTTAATTGTATTAAGTACTGGACATTTAAATACATTTTATGGTTTTATAGATGAGAAAACTAAGAGAGTAAAATATGAGCTACTGTTGAATTCTAGACTTGGAGCATTAGTTGTTATGCCAAAAGCATTTAGCAAATTAGCTATTGTTCCACAGTTACCCATAGGTGATTGAACAATATATGGTATAGAATGTTTTTATTTTACAATGCATAGAAGTCCTATGTTCTGTTTTTTCAACAAATTAAATTTTAAAAAGTCTATTGAGTACCCATGCTTTTTAAGACTTTTTTGAATGCCAGGGATACAAAGTTCAGTAAGACACATTTCGCACTCTCTGTAGTGGGCACTGTAAGTGAAAGTGTGGAACTCGAAGTGCTCGGGGGTGTGGCAGAGGCACGTACAAAGGCCTGTGGGGACACCCCGAAACTCGCATAAAGTGTGGGGGGAAGAAGTTATGCTAACATCTTCACTTGTAGAATAAGAACAAATACAGGAACAAAATAATTCTACTCCACCTTATAAATTTACACAAAACTTTGATAGAAGGGACAGTATCATTCCATTTATTCTAAGGAATGCGAATTTGGAATAGTGTAAAAATATATGACTAAATTCTAAGTTTATCACTAAAAATTGATATGCTGCAATTTACTCTCCCAAAACAAACAAAATGGAATAAAACAAAACCAAAAAACATCAAGCATCACAAAATTTCAGACCTGACCTAGAGAGCAGTGTTTTTGTAGTTATCCCAGGATGCTGCCTGCCCAGTAAACAATATAACCATCCACTTCGCTTAGCATTTACCTTACAAGTATGGTAAGAACTCTCAGAAATACCCTCTTTCCTATATTTACATTTTTACATATTTCATGGAAATTGGTAAAACTGCAGGCAAATGACAGAGCTCTTAAGTACAACATGAATAAATATTTTTCAAATTAATTGTTTTCATTCCTATGGGACAAGTTAAGTTATAAGATTAAACTCCATGCTTTTGAAACCAAAGCTTAGTGATATTTAAGTCTTACTTAAAATCCCTATTTGGAGGGAAATATGTTTTCCTTGCTAATTACAATTCGATTGGTAATTCTATTAAATAGGCAAGTCTTTATTTCCTTTCTGATGAAAATCAGGTAATTAGAAGTAACAGGAAAAATCAGCCACACCAAAAAACTTGTGCAGTATAACTAACTTTAGGAACAGTAGGTTTATGGGGCAGGAGAACCAAAGTGAAGAACTGCCTGTCAGTCCTTTAGGAATCTGGGCATCACCTCTCCTCCAAGTTCGGTACCTTGAGCTGCTATCAGAATTGTAATTTCCATGGTCAGCCCACCCAGTAGGGTTCAGTGGGTTGGAGCCCAGGTCAGGAAGTCAGGAAAGGGGGTAGGTATATGGCCTCATCTGGCCTCTGCTCCTAGCAGCCAGCACTTGGTGTATCTTTTTATCATACCCTTTCTCAATCAGTTAGAAACTTTAAGTCTTCCTACATCCTGAGTTACTTGATATCATTAATTATATGAAGGAATATAAACCAGCCTTAAAATGAAGGAATTAACCACCCGACTAAGTCCTGGTTTGGCTACTGGATAAGTTGTGTCACTTTGGCGGCTACTGCATTTTAAGCTCCAGTTTTCTTGTTTCCAAGTGGGGATATAGTCACGTTGCCTCTGAGTGGTTGGGACATCTAGGATACTGTGTGTAAACATTTTATTAGATGTAACGTCCTATGGAGTAGATATTTGCTATTTGAAAAAAAGACAAATTATAAAACAACACAGATGCTTAGCGTAATAATGGATCTCAAGATAAAAGCACTTGCAGAACTCAGATTTTCTAAAATTATATTAATTATCTGTACCTCCTTTGTTAGGTTGTACACCAAGCTGTACATCAGTGGGGTGCAATCAACTCTCAGAGTGTAGTTTCCTGAAAGATAAAGAGAGGATAGATTATTTTTCATTTCATTTCTTTATTTGACTCTCATTCAAAGACCATTCACAGCTCTTTAGCCAGCATGATCCTTTGAAAACCTGAGTCCGATCAAAACTATCTAACGCCTGGTCCTCACCATGGCAACTCAGTGCTGTAGATGAAAGCACCTCAGATCACCCCTCCAAATTTTCGCCTCCCGCTCTGCCACACAGACTCCTTCTCGGGGTCTGTGTGCACACAGCTCCCTCAGCCTCGAACAGGGCTCTGCATCACAGCTGCCTGGTTTACTCTCCCACTTCACTTAGACCTCTCATCTAATGTAGCGTTTTCTGAGAGGCTTTCTCTGAATGAGAAGGGCGAGATGCAGAACCATTTAGCTGTAATATGGTATCAAAAACCTGTATATGGTAGTGAGAGGCAATAGAATGTAGTGGTTAGAAGGATAAAGTTGAAACAGTTTAGTATGATATTGAGTCTCAGCTATACCCTTTACAGACTGGGTGATCTTACAAAGTTACTTAGTCCCTCTAAATCTCAGTTCCCTCTTGTATACGAGAGAGAGAGAACAATTCTTACCTCACAGGGTTATTGTGAGTACATACGAAATAAACTTTAGTATGTAAAGCATTTAAGACAGCAACACTGTTGGTTTGTGTGAGCTAAATTCTACATACGTTTGTGCCCTTCGTGCCTGATCCTGAATATGATGGGGACATGAGGCAGCATTTTAATACAGAGAGTAACATAATCAGCAAAAACCAATGGTTTAAAAACATATTAAAAAGGACAGATGAGATGATAATAAAAAATAATAATAAATTAAAAAACATTCAAAATCAATTCTTAAAAAAATTAGCAGTAAAGAGAACTTTTATTTTACCTTTGAAGAATATATGGAGTATTTATTTGTGTAGAGGCAAAATGTCGCATCTTATGTGTTTTTAAGGGTAATAATCATAGAAGCTGACATTTTCTAACATTCACTCTGTGCGAGGCACAGGTCCAGGAGTTTTGAAACACTAACTAGTTTTGCCCTTACAAGAGCCTTTGAGTTGTTCTTAGTAACTCCACGTAGTGCTGAGGAACTAAGACCCAGAGAGCAAGTAACAACCCAAGGTCACACAACACACTAGGAAGTGGCAGTGACAGGAATAAGGCCAGGCCCTTAGCCGGGAACCTAAGATAAGGAGAAAAGAATAATTGAAATGCTCTGCATAAACCAACTTAGGAAGCGATGGGAATATAATCAGCAATATTGTAATAACTGTGTATGATGTCAGGTGGGTACTAGATTTATTGGGGGATCACTTAGATACATGAATGTCTAATCATTATGTTGTACTCTTGAAACTAATATAACCTCAACTGTAAATGAAAAAAGTATATTTTAAATATGTTTTATTGATTATGCCATTACAGTTGTTCTATTTCCCTCCTTCATTCCCCTCCATCCTCCACACCCCCCCTACCATTCCTCCCCCTTTAGTTCATGAACACGCGTCTCAAGTTCTTTAGATTCTACATTTCCCATACTATTCTTGCCCTCCCCCCTTCTATTTTCTACCTACCATCTATGCTACTTATTTTCTGTACCTTCTCCCCCCTTCTCCTTCTCCCACTCCCCTGTTGCTAACCCTCCATGTGATCTTCATTTCTATGGTTCTGCTCCTGATCTAGCTATCCTCTTAGTTTGCTTTTGTTTTAGGTGTGGTTATTAATAACTGTGAGTTTGCTGTCCTTTCACTGTTCATCTTTTTTATCTTCTTTTTCTTAGGTAAGTTCCTCTAACATTTCATATAATAAGGGCTTGGTGATGATGAACTCCTTCAACTTGACCTTATCTGAGAAGCACTTTATCTGTTCTTCCATTCTAAATGAAAGCTTTGCTGGATAAAGCAATCTTGGTTGTAGGTCTTTGGATTTCATGACTTGGAATACTTCTTTCCAGCCCCTACTTGCCTGTAAGGTCTCTTTTGAGAAATCCACTGACAGTCTGATGGGAACTCCTTTGTAGGTGACAGTCCCCTTATCTCTTGCTGCTTCCAGGATTCTCTATTTCATTTTAATCTTGGCTAGTATAATGATGATGTGCCTTAGTGTGTTCCTTCTTGGGTCCAACTTCTTTGGGACTCTCTGAGCTTCCTGGATTTCCTGAAAGTCTGTTGCCTTTGCCAGATTGGGGAAGTTCTCCTTTATTATTTGTTCAAATAAGTTTTCCACTGGTGGCTGTTCCTTTCCTCCTTCTGGTACCCCTATAATTCAGATGTTGGAAGGTTTAAAGATGTCCTAGAGGTTCCTAAGCCTCTCCTCATTTTTTTGAATTCTTGTTTCTTCATATTTTTCTGTTTGGTCATTTTTTTCTTCCTCCTGGTGCACTCCCTTGATTTGAGTCCCAGATTCCTTTCCATCACTATTGGTTTCCTGTGCATTTCCCATCATTTCAATTAGTTTAGCCTTCATATGTTCCTCTAATTTGTGAATAAAATCAACCAGTTCTGTGAGCATCCTGATCACCAGTGTTTTGAACTGTGCATCTGAAAGTTTGGCCATTTCTTGGTCACTTAGAGTCATCGGCTCTGAGGCTTTGAGTTCTTCTTGAGCCATGTTTTGGTCTGTTAGCGCCTCTTACGTATGAGGAGGGGAGCCTTAAGTGTTCACCAGGGCCGGGCCACCCAGATCACTGAGTTGTGACACTGTATGTGGGGGCAGGGTCAAACAGGGGCAATAGCGGTCCCCTCTGCTGCTTCCTGCCACTGGGAACTGCATGGTCTGTCTCACTGCTTGCTCCTTCGCTGGTTTAGCTGCATGCTAATGTGTGACCAAGGTCAGCCTGTCGCCTTTTGCCCTCAGTGGGTCCGCTCATTGCTGCTCCACAGCTGGGATCCGCCCACGGCTGCCTGCGCGCCTGAGTCGAGCATCTGGGTCAGTCCGATGGATCTTTCCTTTCTGACCCTGCTCCGCTGCTGGCTCTGCCCCTCTTACCAGTCTGGCTAAATGGTTCGTTGTTGTCGGACTTCCGTATAGTTCAATTTCCTGTGTTTTAGCTGTATTTTTGTTACTAAAACTTTGTCATCTTTAAACTTGGTTATGTGAAAAGGCACAATGTTTCCACCCACACCTCCATCTTGGCAGAAGTTGAAAAAAGTATTTAAAATAAACCTCCATTAGTCTTGTTTGGGGGGAACAAAAAATTGTTCTTTTTTTGTTACTTCATATTAAAATCACTGAAATCTTTAGTTGCATGATTCATTTGTCCATGGAGCAGGTATTTACTGAATCCCTACCAGGTGCAAGCGATCTGCCAGAGGAAACAAAACAGTGCAGCGTTCTCAAACTGGCATTCTGGGGCTCACAGCTGCTGTGAGTCAGGGGCAGGAGCCTGACTCAGCAGCAGCGGAGTCTGAACCCCAGGCCAGTTAATTTGCCTTCCTTATCACTGCCTGGTTTATCAACTACACTGCTCCTACTACCATGACCACCTCTTTCCCTGTGGGACTAACGGTATTCACCTTCTATAGAAGAATCGGCATTAACGTAAGCCACAGCACGCTCCTGAAGGAGTCTGGAATTCTCCTATAATATGAAAGAAATAAAAGCATAAACGTACAGCCATAACCTTTCCCCCCAAAACACACATCTACATTAATTGTGTGCAGATTTATGAATTAAGCTGGCCCAAATTAGCCACGAATTTGAAATATAAGATTTCAAAATTATTTAAGAGAATTCTTTGAAAATTTGGTAAGGATAACAAGTAAAGCATTTTTAAGAGTAAAGTGTGAAAATAAAACTGCATTTTAATTTGTTAAAAGGAAAGAAAGTTGATTACTTAACCATACTATCATCTATCCATTTCTTAACAAACTTGCACGACCTAAGGGATCTTTTCAGTGGAAGTCTTCTCATGGATATCTCATTACTTAAGTACAGAATCTTGGCTGACTCACGGGAATGAGTTATTTCAAATATACCGGTTAAAAATAAGTATTTCAATAATGTCTGCATAACCTGAAACATAAAGTTCTTCGGTAGGATGGCACCACCTACTGGTCAACATTAATCATTGCAGTTTTAAAACAAGTATGGAACAAAGTTTTTTTGAGACATCAAGTGAATTCTGAATCTCAAACAGGCAATTTCCTAAGCATCATAACTATAAGAAAAAAAAACAGAAAAAATATGCCATGCTAGGTGACAAAAACAGTTTGAAAGGGAAAAATCACAACCTTAACATATTTAGGCTCTTCCTGATGCCAGCATAAACCATTTTTGTCTACAGAAGCACTGCTCCCCCCCCCACCAAAGAAAATTGAAAGTTACAGGGCTTCTCATAATTTCTGGAGTATAATAGCCCAATTAATATTTTTCAGCATGACAGAAAGTTAATAGAATATGTGTTGACTTTGAATATATTTACAGCTAATGCCTTTATTACACAAAGTCAACAATACATGCAGATAATATTACTTTCCAAAGGGCTTAGTAAATATTCTGTTGTGGGGCTTTATGCCTCGCTGTTAGTATAATTCAATTTAGACTAGGTCATTATGATATAAGGAAAATAATTGTGAAAAATATAACAGTACACAAGTGCAGGGTGTATTTAAATGTGGTTGGCTTTAGGAACCAATTTGAAAAGGGTAACAGAGACATCGTATCTTATTTTGCTGTTTGGTTTCTAGTGAATATAATTACTTCCTATCACACTCTCAGAAGATGAAGTAAAGTTATTTTGACAATTGTCATTTACTGTCTCTAAAATGTTCAAATGGAACTTATTCTTTAGTGACAAAGGTATTTTTTGTCACTAAAGATATTTTATTGATTTTTTTAACAAGGATATGATGCTTCAGACTTTCTGAAAAAAATGTTTGAATATTTTCTCACTGGATTCACTTATTATTTTTACATGCTTGAGAATTAAGTCTGAACTACTTTCTCATTATAAAAATATTTATTGTAGCAAATGATCAACCAACCTCTGCCCACTCAGTAGAACCAAGAAGCCCAAATTCTTCTGCATCCCAGCTTGCAAACAAAATTGTTCTTCTAGGCCGCCATCCTAAAATATATGTATGTACATGTAAACACTGGGAAAGTGCACAATATATCCAAGACGGTGCCAAGCCTAACAGAAACAACAAACAAAATCATGGATCGTTTAGGTTTGTAATGATGGGCTACATATAGAAAACCATCTGTGGCCTGCAGCTGCCTGGAATGGAAGAAGAGAGTGCTTGATGTGGTCTGTGTTCTGAGAGCAGATAAAACAGAGAAAATCCTTGACCACTCTTGCATGTTGTTCTGGCATCACATGATTGTTCAGGGTCAGCTGGCTGTATGATTTCACTCAAGTCTCTGCCAGGATTAGTCAACAGCAGCTCAGTTAATGTCTGCGGTTACTGAAAACTACGTAATTCAATAGGGAGGTCGTATGGCTCAGAGTCAAGAACACTGGCCTTGAAGTTAAAGAAAGATCTTATTTCAAACCCTGGTTCTTTCACTTACTTGCAGTGTGACTGAAGGAAAGTTATTCACACTTACTAAGCCTCTGTTTCTTCATCTGTACACTAGGAATAACAAAGTAAAGATACTACTTGATCGAAGGATTAAATGGAGTAATATTCATAAATATAGCATGTAATAAGTGCTCCAAAAATTTAAGTTGCCTTTATTTCAGTAAGTATTTCATCTGTGCTTATTAAGAATGTGGATCCCTATACCTTTTGAGTCCAGTGTTTAATTTTTGTCAGGTTTGCTGACAGTATTATTCAAACTTCCTTTAATTTTTTATTCCTCCTCTTTGTGTTCTTCGACTCTGGAACTGACCCAGTGATGTTTTGTACTGACCACAGGGAATCTTCTTACAAACTCATGAAAATGTTTGTAGTAATATTAAACACTACAGAATTCACAAATTATGTAAATTCAGGTTGTTGTAGTTTTTCCTTCTAAAAATATAACATAGCTGAAAAAATAACAACATAAACACTTTACTTAAAGAGAGGCACTGTAGTTTTGTGGACTGGTAGGCAGAAATTTGAGTTTAAGCCCTGGTTCTCTGACTCTGCCACACACCAGATACATAATCTTGAGTGAATTACCTGATTCTGTAAACCTTGGTCAGCTTTTTTGTAAAATGAGAACAGAAATATCTAGGTAAAATTCTCTCTGGTTGTTATGAGTTCAAAACAGATAGCACATGTGAAAACATCGTTTCTCTGAGAAAATAAGTACCATACAAACTTAAAATGTTGTTTTACCATTTTTTGTTGTTGCTAAAAACAATATCAACCACATTTACATCCCCTAGATTTTTTGTTTACAGGGTCAGTAGGCAGAGTGGACTTCCTACTTTCATTGCATAATAATTATCTTAAAAAGCAACTATTTGAACTAAAATTTTTTTTTGCTTTTATATGAAGATTCTAAAATGACAGAAGTAATGGTGCTAAGAGTATAAACCTAAATTCTGGAGAGCAGTCGAACGTTGTGGGTTTGAGAATGCAGACATTGAATTTTTACCGTACCCTATTAGGCAAGAAGACCAGTATTTTTCTCAATAAGCTCTGATCTCCCCAGTTACTTAGTAAACTTGACCTCATGTATGAGGCTTGAAGAGCCTGAGGAACTTCTGCTCACAGTTCTCAGACCAGGAAGCTTTGGTTTATGGCCTAATTCTAGTGCGTACTCTTCAGTGAGGAAACCCATTTCCATCTTCTTAGTTACGAAGAGTGACCACTAACAGTGTAATTCCTTTACTTCAGATTATAGTCTAATATATAAATATTAATAAAGTGAATATCACTATATAAATATAAAAATGAATAAGCAATATAACTAACTAACCAACATAATACAGCCACAGTTTATTGAAAGCTATTATGTGCTACTCCTAAGTACTTCATGCTGCTCAGGTGACATAGTTTGCACCTGTCCTATCTGGTCACCCTTCACACAAACCAATGAGGTGGCATGTTTGCACTCACTTAAGAGAGAATTAAACTGAGACTCAGAGAAGTAGGTCTTTTTTACTCTTTGTTTAAATTACCTTCTTTTTTCAGAATTCCAAAACTCCTCACAATTTCATGAACAACAGCTGCTCCACTCTGAGGGTCAATGCCACCAAACACCCATGAGTCACGGTGACCTCCAAGAATGACATACCTGTCTAGAAAGCAACAGTGTAAAAATTACTTGTCATTCCAGGTCAATATCATAGCATATTGCAAATGACTCAAAGCATCTAAAAACAAAGCATGCAACTCAGAGGAAGCCCTGGCCAGGTAGCTCAGTTGGTTAGAGTGCTGTCCTGACACCACGAGGTTGTAGGTCTGATTCCTCGTCAGAGCACAGACAAGAATCAACCAATGAATGCATAAAGAAGTGGAACCACATATTGATGTTTCTCTTTCTTTCTCTCTAAAATAAAATTTTTAAAAAAGATTCAAAGGAAGATAGTAAGGTTCCTGAAGACTTGTGTAAATATATTACATATTTTGTTCTGATTTAGATGTACAAAGACAATAAAAAGTGATAAGCAAATGAATAGTATTACAGTAATTATAAGTATAAACATAATGATCATTCAGTATAAAATTACCCTAGTCACATCTTTATATAATTTCTTATTACTCCTCTCCTACCTACTCAGCACCGTTTTCATAATGATCAGATTGAGAGAGCACAGTGGTCACATATCAAGTTCTCCACTTCTTATTCCTTCTATTTATTTTCAAGACACAGGTCAAGGATCTTCCCCCTTTATGAACTGCTCCTAGTTTCCATAGGGGGAGGGAATTGCTTCCCTACCCAGCATTCAGAACAATCTGTTGAGATCTGAAAAAGCATTTACCACACTTAGACATATGGCTCCCCTCCCGACTGTGAGCACCTTACCCCCAGACGGTGTCCTTTGTCATCCTGGCATCCCCAGTGCTGAGCACAGAGCTGGCACAAACTAGGTGCTCAGAAGATTCAAAATTGCCAGTTATACAGTGTTTCATTTTTATTGGAAGCATATCAATGCTCTTGATCACTAAAGGAAAGCGCTGGCTTGCTTGTAAGAAAGATAGACAATTTAATTGGATCTGTTTTGGTAAAAATGTATAACCAAATCATTTCCAAGGAACTGGAATATAAGGAAGTAAGACTCTTTATAAGATGTATTAATCTCCAGATCATATGAAATCCTATGGAAATCATGTGTTTATATACTTCATCGACTTCAATAAAAATCTATGTAAAAATAATTATTCAAGGTTACCTTACTTTTTTAATGCTGTCTTTTATATAGATATTTATATTATGAAGATATTTTGCCCATGCAAAACTATGTAATAAAAGAATCCATAAAACTCAAGAAAATACCTAAAATCCACCTCTCCCTGCCCTTCCTCCCTTGATCCTCTAAGTAAAGCATGCAGACTCTGTCACCAACCTTGGTTATCTGACCAACCTAGCCTCACCATTTACTTTTCTTTCTTTACAGCGAATATCACAATACAAAATTACCTTATGTTTATGTATTTTTGTCTTCATGTAAGTTCCATTAGGTCAAAAAGTCGCTTTGCTTTGCTCACCTGATGGCCCCAGAGCTCAGAGTGGTCCCTGGCCCAGGAGACCTGCAGTTTGATGTGTGCTGATGAGCTTACCTGGTTCCACTGCTCCTCTGAGAGTTCCGATCACGTTGTAAATCCTTGTCACCTCGTTGTTGGAATGGATGTGCATCTTGACTTTTCTAATGCACACGTAAGGAACATATTCAAACGTACTGGTTAACAGATTACGGACAACAATTTTTTAAATTTGATATCATTGTTTAAAAAGGTTTCTAAAGGTGCACAGGCAAAGATTACATTTTGCCAGCTGTCCAATTATAATGATGTAAGTGTAACTAATTGTAACCTCCTCTTCACCCTGTGATTTGGTTCCCTGCTGGTACTGGATAGTTTTTACTTTTTCAGCCACCCTCTATAATTGCTTTTTAATTTACATTAAAATAAAAAGGCTTCCTTCCCCTAAAAAGAGTTAAAATAAAAAGTCTCTTACTGTGTAGAAAAATTTCCAGTAAAGCCAGGTCCAACACTGTAGGGCACTTTGAGACTTCCTTTCCAGCTGCTATCTGGTGGTGCTGTGCCACCCATTTTTCTGTTGAACATGGAAAGTGTTATTAGCTGAAGGAAGCCATGAAGTTACAAGTGCAAATGTCAATGAACTTGCTTTCTTGAGTGTCTGTTCATAAGAGCTACTATGAATCAGCAGTGCTTTGCACATGAAAAGCCACTCAAACCCTTACTACAGCTCTTGCGAAGTCAGTTCTGTCACCTCCACTTCACAGATGAGGAGCATGGTGCTTAGAGAGACTAGGTAACTCGGCAAAGTCATGCAGCCGGTAAGTGGGATAGCTGAGACTCAAGTCTCGGTGAAGAATTCAGACCCTGTCACCAGTTCCCAATGGTAAATCATGTGAAAAGTGCTTTCCAAGGCATGCTCTTAAGAGACAGTTTGATGTCAAACTTTTGGGGGTTTTCCACCCATTATGTTATTTCTCATGTGGATAAATACATTCAAAACATGTATATGGTCATCCTTTACAAAAGGACATTATGTTATGTATGTCACACACATGTGTTAGGGAGAGAGGAAGAGCAAAAGAAAGATTTCACTTCAATCAGCAGTCCCTAAACGTTTCACAGATTTTTTTAATTCATAAAAGTTGAAAGATACAGACAGGCCAGCCAGTGCATGCCACCAGCCTGGTTAACTCTTAGCAGGGGACTGAGAAAGAGATATGATGATGTCTATGGAACGGTGGGGTTTATGCAGATCTACCTCAACATATCCACCTGTACTGCATTAAGAACACAAACTGACTTTTTCTTTATGTGAGCATAGAAACCAAATATACCTTTGCTAAAAAGCAGAGAATAAAAGAATAAGGTTCAGCCCTGACTGGTGTAGCTCAGTGGATTGAGTGCAGGCCTGCGAACCAGAGGATCGTGGTTTGATGCCCAGTCAGGGCACATGCCTGGCTTGCAGGCCAGTTCCCAGAGGGGACACATGAGAGGCAACCACACATTGATATTTCTCTCCCTCTCTCCTTCTCTTCTCCTCTAAAAATAAATAAATAAAATCTTTACAAAAATAAAAGAATATGGTTCAAGACAAACTTTGAAGTGGAAAACGTTAGTTTCCTCATTTTTCTGTGCCTGCACACACATGCTTGTTCCCCTATTTGGAAAAATGTGAATAGTTTGACTTGATATAGAAGCTACTGAAAACCTAATACTCAAACAATATTAATATTATTTATAACTAGTTTTCTTCTCATGAAAACTAATTATAAATAATATTGTTTAAAAATTCTCTATCAGATAAATGCTTATTTTCCCTTTTCCAATCTCACTAGGAAGTTTGGCTAATAAATATAATTTAAAGTAATATATGATCAAATTTATTTATTTACAATAAAATTTCACATACTAAACATCAATTAACAAAACTGGACATCTTCCTTTGGCAAAAAAGTGTAATCAGTAGTCAAAACAGCAAATAAGTGTGCAAAAAAGTTATAGAAGGCAAGTGAAGAAGAATATACACAATGCTTAATTATACATAAAATATTTCTACAATGATATATTGTACCCTGATAACACTGAATATTTTGGGGGTAGAAATGGGTAAAATGGAAGCTTTTTACTGTATATTCCTTTGAAGTTTGAACTGCGTAAGTGTATTTTCTTGTACGTAATTGGAATTACACTATACAGTGTTTTGCAATCTTTTCTTCCCACTGGATAGAACAGCATACCATTAAATATTCTTGTACAATGTGTATTTTCATGGCTTTAAGCACGATCATAGCCAGTAATGTATTTGACCACTGATCAGTTATTGAAGAATTGTGTATTTTATAGTTTTCTATGATTAGAAGTAGTGTTAAAATCACTTTCACCTTTTAAATATCATGACCATTTAGACTTTATTTATAGACATATTTAGAGAAATGCAGAATCCATGCTGCCTGTGTCCTACCCTGAATCTTAACCCATGTGGTAAACCTAAGAGCCCCAAAGATAAAAATACCAGGGTACTGCTCCTTAATGTGCCCTTCAATTGAGTGATCCCTCCAATGCTCTGATGTGAGCCTCCTCACCTGTAAAAATGAGGGCATGGCTCTAGCTTATATAAAGGGTTTTTTTAAATATATAGTCACTACAATAAAATAACCAAGAATGTCTTGAATTCAAAGAAGAAAAGAGGTTAACTGGCCAGTTGCTGTGGTTCCAAGCAATTCTACTTTTAAAGAAGTCAGTGTTCTCTCTCATCCTAAAGGGACATGCAGATAAGAAAAAGCAGGGTAAGAAGGGGGAAAGTGTTCCAACGCCCAGTTAAGCAATAACACATTTGGAGATGTTTCAATCATGAAAGCATAGAGAGAAGAGGAACACAGATGAAAATGAATGGAAACTGCTCTCAGTGTGTTATTCCAGGATCTCCAATAAGTAGCTAGTGAGAGGATTAGATGAGTAAGAGATTTATTAGCAAAAAGACCCATGAGAAAAATAGCAAGGGATGCAGGGAAGGCTGAGAAAGCCATCAGACTGTTAGGCAGGTGTCATAAGGGGTAAAGACAAAGGAAAGGAAGAAAAGAGTGCTGGGTGGTAGCATCAAGTTGAGGAAGGATATCAGAGAGTCTTGAGCCAAACTTCCCCATTGGAAGAGCCCTGTGCTTTCCATAATGGGCCTGGTTTAGCATCCCTGACACACTCTGTCACTGACTGGGAGTACCTGTAGGAAGCATGGCCTTGACACAAACAGGTGATGCATTTCAAAGCCGTGACTGGAGCAATTAATCAATTATTCTTCCTGCATTTGGGCTTTCCTGCACTCCTTTTCATGGCTGTCACACACGGAACCACCACTCTATAAAACGATGATAAAATCTGATGCTTCACCCACCTCAGAGAATTTCAACATCCAGTAACGAAGACAAAAGCATAAAAGTTGAAGACTGTCAATAGAGAGAACCATGCCATGGCTTTGTTTCTCAGAAACTTACTCCAGGAACTTCTGGGCATCATGGTATCCAATTGGATGAACAGGGATACTTGGAAGACCAACAGCCTCTGGGAGTTCGCGTCTATAAGCATATTCTGAAAAAAGTTGAACACTCTTCTAATGAAAACTTGGTCCTTTTCAAAATATTTTCTGTAAGTCATGTTAAACATATTTTCATATTGTATCTACTAGAATTGTTAAAAAACAATTTCAAATGTTAGCAAGAATGTGGAGTGACTGAAACTCTCATATATTTCTTGTGAGGGTATAAAATTATACAGCCACTTTGGATAACTCTTTTGAAAAGCAATGTTGAACAGAAATGTGCAGTATGATAAGCAATTCTGCTCCTCAGTGTATATACCCAAAAGATGAAAATATATTGCATGTTTACAAAAAGATCTGTATGAATTGCTCATAACAGCCCCATTTGTGTCAGGCAAATACTGAACATAGTCCAGGTTCCTTTCAACAGGACAATGAAAAATTTATAGTACAGCCCTGGCTGATGTGCCTTAGTGGACTGAGTGCTGACCTGTGAACCTAAAGGTCACTGGTTTGATTCCCAGTCAGGGCACATGCCTGGGTTGCAGGCCAGGTCCCTAGTTAGTGGCGTGCTAACGGCAACCAATCAATGTATCTCTCACACACGATGTTTCTCTTCCTCTCTTTCTCACTCCCATACACTCTCTCTAAAAATAAATAAATAAAATATTTTTTAAAATCTTATGCCCTGGCTGGTGTAGCTCAGTGGATTGAGCACTGGCCTGTGAACCAAAGATTCGCTGGTTCAATTCCCAGTCAGAGCACATGCCTGGGTTGTGGGCCTGGTCTCCAGTAGGAGTGTAAGAAACACTGATGTTTCTCTCCCCTTCTTTCTCCTTTTCCCTCTCTCTAAAAACAAATAAAATGTTTTGAAAAATAAATACAAATCTGTAGTGCAGTCCTACAATAGAATACTACTCAGCAATTAAAAGGAGCAAATGCTAATACAATAACACGGCTAAATCTCAAATCATTATAATAAGTGGAAGTATGAGGGCACAAAAGAATACATACCATCTGATGCACATTATGTTAAGTTCAAAACTAGGCAAACTAATCAATGGTGACACACATCAGAAATGAGTTGCTTCTGAGAGGTGGAGTGAAACCAGACCAGGAAGGAGCCCAAGAGAACTTTCCGAACTCGTGCAAATGTACTATGTTTTATACTGAGTAATATAAATATATGTATTTTAATAACATCCTTTTAAAGATTTTATTTATTTATTTATTTTTAGAGACATGGAAGGGAGGGAGAGAGAAAGGGACAGAAACATTGATCGGCTGCGCACACACCCTTATTGGGGACCAAACCTGCAACCCAGGCCTGTATTCTGCATGAAACTGGCGACCTTTCACTTTGCTGTATGATGTCCAACCAGCTGAGACTCACCAGTCAGGGCACACATGCATCTTTAAAAATTAACTGAACTGAACTCTTAAGATCTGTGAAATGTAGTACGTGTAAAATCAACTTCAAAAAAAAACCCCACATATATGCTGTCATTTCTTTAGAGTAAAAAAATAATTTTTTCATTTTTTCTCCAATTTTTTAAATTATCTACTAAGAACTTCACATGATTGCAAAAGCTGTTTCTTTTTATTGGTAAAATGATAATGATATGTTTGACAAAATTTGTTTTAAAGTACTCTAGAGTAATAATAAGTATAAATAAATAAGGAATGAATAGATGAAACGAGATTAACAAAATGTCTCTATCATGCATTATACATTATGTGATGTTATGTATTATGTATAAAATGTTACATACAATGTATGTTAGACCTGTTCCATAATAAAAAGTAAAAAGAAAAATTTACAGAATAAGCCACTAAAGGGAATTCAATCAATGTAAGCCCCATAGGGATAACATGACTTTTCTTCCTAAAATGCCATCATTTAAATTACAGGATAATCAACAGAAACATTCCAGTTAATCTCATTTTATGTTCATAATTTTAGCTTTGCATAATTAACAGAACTTGGGACAAGTTGCATTTGTAGAAAAAAAAAACAGCTTGGGAGTAAAAAACTGAAGTCGGTCCAGGTATATCTATGTGATTATTATAGGATAATATGTATTGCTTAAAATAAATAATCTATGACAATGTACCATGTTCCAAAAAGACTTACAAAACCAAAGTACATAAACTTTAGGGGAATCTATAATCTTATTTTAAAAAAAAACAGGTGAAGAATTAACATGGAAATGCCACAGATACTTTGGCAACCTACTTTATCCAAGTTACACACCTCAGTTAGTTTTAACCCACACAAACTAAATGATCACAGCCTTTTGTAAATGTCATCAAATAGCTAAGCACATTCCAATAAATTAGCTCCCATTGTTAATGATCTACAGTTTTACAGGGAGCTATTTCAGCACAAGACAATTGTGTGGACTCTGGAGCCAGACCACCTGACTCTGAATCTCAACTCCTTCCTCATTTAGTGGTGTGATAATCTGAGGCAAATTGCTTACTTCTCCTAACCTCGTTTCCCTCCTCTGTCAAATAGAGGTAATAATTCTACCTAGTATGAAGGATTATTAATAATACTACCTAGTTTAAAGAGCTGGCATTTAGGAAAAACTCCTTGAAATTTATCACTATTGTCTTTACATAGCAAAGATGCAGTAAGCATTTTCTGGACTCTATATTCTAAATGTCCCACTTTCAGGGTTTGTAGAACTTCTGTTCTACTATCCCTTGTCCATAGCTGTGAAATTCCAAAACTGTGAAAACCACGAGTTTGGAGGAAATTTACTTGGCAACAAAACCTGATTTGATGTAAACTTATTTGACAGCAAAATTTGACTTAGGCAGACACAAGGCCATTTATACTACTTATTTAACCCAGCTTAGTATGACTATTTATACCCTTTGCTGCAAAAATATTTATATACTTGCTTCCTGTATTATCCCAGCCTCTATGTGAGTGTCACGTGATGTATGGGGCAGTATATGCAGTGTCACTTTTAAATGTCCCATCAGACCCGAGGCTCCAAACAAGGGATAAGGACCTAAGCCAATAATTTTCAGAGTTCAAACCTCTTTATTTTAAAACAAACCAAGCCAACAAAACGCCTCTTTATTTCTTAAATTCAAAGAGAATAAGAAAGAGAATAAGAAAGGCATTCTTTGTTGTCAAAAAAAAGACCTTTAATAAACCACTTAAAATGTTATGTTTTCTCCGATAACGAAGGCCTGACCACTCACCATTTGCTGGGTAACCAGGTGTGAGAGGGTCCCCTGCCCCATTAAGATTTAAGATATTTCCACGCTGGACACCGTCTCCAGGAAGATTCCAGCCCTCTGGGTAGGATGCCACCCCAGGAGCAAAGTAGTCGGCAGGGTCCGAGTACAGAATGACTCCTTTGGCCCCCGCCAGCTGGGCGTTTTTAACCTGTAAAAGGCAATGCCTCTCTTACTTCAGGTTGGTTGTTCCAACTTTGATCTTTTCAACTGTCAAAATTCTCCTTAAATAAGTAACCAAATGTTTTATCTTTATTCATTGTAGGTCTATCATTAGACCTACAACAAAGGATATCTGACAGAAAATTCACTTTTTCCCCCCTTCTACAAGCTCTAAAGTGTTAGCCCTCTGAGTAGCAGAGTGGGGATAATGTACACATTAGTGGTAGCAAGGACTTCCTGCTTCCTTCCCCTAGTCTAGAAGCACAATAAGCAGGCCAGAGTCCCAATGTTTTTCTATGTTCAAAAGGAAATATTTCTGAATTTTAATTTCCCACAAAGGAGAAAAATTATATATATATAATTACATGTTAAATTAATGCATACTGCTGATTATATATATATAAACAAATCAAATGACAGCAACTTTAAAAACTGCTATGTACGTATAAATTGTTTTTTCTTGTTACTCATAACAGCAATTCATATTAAAATTTAATATAGTAAATATTTTCAAAGTTAATATTTCAAACAAAGCTACTCCTTAGTTTGAACGAGGTCAACAACAAATTCAATGCACACTTTTTTTGCAGACCATTGGCATCCTTTGCAAGTATGGAAAAAATCTTCTCTATTCCCCCTGATCTATTATTACACTGGCCGCATTGTAATGACTCAATTTACAGCCCCATCTATAGGTTCGTAGAGGCTTCCTCCCTCTGAGGAGGGCCTGTGCAGAACATGAGAGGACTGTGGTCCCCAGAAAGTGTCAAGGATATGATTTCACATGTATAAGATACAATATAACTTCGTATTTGTGGAGAACAAAAAAGATTGTTTTTACCTTATTTCCTCTAAAAATTTTCCCATATCTGGCAATCACAATCTTCCCAGAGCAATTGATTTTCATATCTCGCTCCAGTTTGAAGAAGTCTTCTGTTCGTGCATAATTAGCATACACTAGATCACCCTGTTGAGATCACGAATCATTTAGTACGACTAAAACTGAACACATGGAGGTTTCTCCTCACGGGGACTGTTTCACATCTTTGAAATAAGGAAGAGGCAAGAGCATTCAAGAGGGTCAGAGAAGCAGGAGCCTCAGATAAGAGAGTCAGGGAGAAACAAACTTAAATCTAGAAGGTAATTAGCTGGGTAAGAGACATAGGAATTTATTTCTCTATGGTGGCTAGAGCTATAAAAGTACTCCCCGGGGAAAAAAGTTTATAAATATAGACACTGCTGAACGAAATTCGAAGGGATCCAGGCACCCCAGAGGAAGAAGACCTTGAGAAGATACCTTTGTTCTCTGAAGTACGTTCATAAATAGTAGCTTAATGGGTCTTCCCAACCACTAGGTAAGGAAGAAAGGTGAGGCAATATCACTGCTTTATAGGTCTGGTTTTGTATCACTGAGCATGGTTACGTGCAAGTCTCACATGATGATCTTTGGGTCTGAACACAGTCCCGTGTCACATAATAATGTTTAGTCAACAATGGAGACATACCATACAGCCTAGGTGTGTAGAAAGCTCTACCAGCTAGATTCGTGTAAGTGTCTCTATGATGTTTGGACAGTGACAAAATCACCCAATGCTGCTCTTCACAGAACATATTCCCAGTGGCATATGACTGTACTCTCAGTTGTAAAAGTAGATTAGATCGATATTCTTCAAACATATTTGGCTCATCTACTCCCTAAATTGATTTTGAAAAGCACTATTTTTAAGTTGACATCTAAAATGTTTTATCATACTTTAAGGGGCTGCAAATAAAGCAATTTCCAGCATATTATAAGTATTAACATTTTAAAGCAATTTTATCTTAATTTTTATGTGTCCAAAGGAATTAAATACTATTATGATTTACTGTTCAACATCATTATTTAAAAAATACAGGAATACACTCTTCTCTTTAGTCAGAATTTTATCATTATTTTTCCCCCTTGACCTTGTATACTGTTCCTCTTCCCCCAAAACATTCCACTCTCAAGTAAAATATGTTTGTGCTGGAAACTGGCCTGTGCTGCCCAGACTTTCCTTCAGTGAGAGGTTCTTGCTCCAGCTGCAGGGAAGGCTCTCTGCAGGGAAGGCTTTCTTGCATTGTCAGACCCGTGCTCAAGGTCAGCTATAGATAGCCACCTAGCTCAAAGTCACGTCTCTTTTTAGGGTGCCACACAATCAGTGACTGATTAATGTGGAAGCATTATAACCTGGACAACTTAGTCTAACCTAGGACCATTCTGACAGGCAATTCTGACTCCAGAACTGCACCTTGTGTAAGGTCCTTGATCCGACATTGAGGTGAAACTTGTTCCTCTGTGTAATCCAGCTTTGCTCCCCTGCCTACTGAAAATACAGATCCCAAGAGAACACTCCTTAATTGACATCTAGCGTGTTAAATTCCATTTCCATTTCTAGGTATGCTTGAAAGTCTTTTATTAATCATTGTCAAAGTCTCCTTGATTAAGAATATATAAATTGAATTTTTTTAAATATGTATTTCCTGGGACAGGTTATATGTACTATGAAAATTCTTCAGAAGTAAGTTATTATTATTGGTAGTATCCAATTGAGTGTAACAACTTCATTACAAATTTTTATAAATGATACTTAAGCACAAAGTTGTTCTTGAAATATATCTCAATGCTATGGAATGTTAAAACATTAGGTTATGGATCTGTGAATGAATAAATTATTGCCATAGTGAAGACAGGACTTAGCATCATTTCTGTTCACATTTTTTGTTTGTTTTTAGACATAGTTCTGAGAAAACTTGGGATAGGAATGAGAGAACTGTTGTTATGAAATCTCCACTCAATTATTCAAATTTCTCCCAAGCCACAAACCCAGAATCATACACTGGTCTATTATTCAAGTTAATTCTAATGATACCAGCTGGAAACTCGGGCTCGTCTTTAACTTGTTTCGACTGAAAACCATTTTAACTGCCAAGTCATCTGTTACCCAGCAAATTAGAATATTTCACTATCATCTCCTTGATTTTTACAACTCAGAAATATATTTAGATTGTTTTAGGATGGGTTGGTGATACTTTGCATTCATAAAATAAGAGAAAAATGACTGTAAATAAGGAGGTGGGGACAGAGTACCAGCAGGATCTCACCACAGGCTAGTTCTCAGTTCCATCAGCGAGTACCCTGGGAAACTGATGATGCAACTGTCTCCTTAAATGGGACCGTGCCTGCCTTTGGAAGTCTTCGCACATCCTAGCTTGAAGCCCCTCTCCTGGGTGATTTCTAACATCCTATAGTTTCATTTTGGTTATTCTTTTCCTCTTTCACTACATTTCTCATTGCATGGGCACAACAAATTAATAACAGATACTAAAATAGTTTCCAAACTGATTCTAAGGTATGGCAAATTCATGGAAGATGCGTTATATTACGTGCTCAGCAGTGTTCTAGGAATTAGGGATATGCCAAATCCGTGTCCTAGAAGGAACTTACATTCAGGGGGAAAGCAGAGATAAGATAATAGGCAATAAATTTAATAGCTAAGTAAATTAGACACTATATTAAAAAGGTGATAAATGCTGTAGAAAAAAGTTTTTAAAGTGTAAATAAAGGCAAACAGTGAACTGTTTGGGTGGGAAATATAATTTATTTAATTTTAAGAAGATTTTATTTATTTACTTTTAGAGAGGGGAAGGGAGGGAGAAAAAGATGAAAAGAAACATCAAAGTGTGGTCGCCTCTTGCATGCCCCCACCACCTGGGGACCTGGCCTGCAACCTAGGCATGTGCCCGAGACCGGGAATTGAACCAGACACCCTTTGGTTCCTAGGCGGGGGACTCAATCCACTCAGCTGCATAACCAGGGCTCAGGTCGGACAGTTTTATACAAGAGGAAATTCTATTGAGAAGGCAATATTTGAATCCTTGCTTCAGTAAAATAATTACTTTTAGCTCTTTTATTTCTTCCTAAGACCAATGCAGTGCTAATGCACTATTAATGATAGTACTGTATGTCTGATTTATATCTTTTTTAATTTATTGATTTGAGAGAGAGAGATTTGTTGTTCCACTTATTTATGCATTCATTGGCTGATTCTTGTATGTGCCCTGAGCAGGAATCAAACCTTCAACCTTGGCGAATATGGACAATGCTCTAACCTGCCCAGGGCTGTCTTATTTATAATTGTTAACCAGTTTCGGAGTTCACTCATTGTAACTGTGAATACAGAGAAATTAACCAATTGAATTTCAGTGAATTTCGTGTCTAAATGTCCTACTTAAAATTTATCGTATTTAATATCACTAACTTCAGAGAGACTACTTGTTTAAATGCCAGTAAATTTTGGCTATTTTTGATAAATCTGCAATCCTCACACAAAAATAGTTACAATAGAGAAAGGACTGAAGAAGACATTAGTTTTAAAATGAGAGTAAATTTTGAAAATGAAAACAAGTGTGATGGATATGCAAGCCGTCACTGTGAATTAGAAAAAAGCTTTGTTTTCAGACAATGACATTGTAAAGTTTACACTGTCCATTGTTTACTGACTGGGAGTAAATACAATCTTGCACTGTTAGCCTGGAATTTTCCATTTCTTACAAGCTTCCATCTTCCTGCTGTTGTTAATAGAGACAGAATTGAGAAGCAAGACCGGTGTTATTAAAGCATGGTTCTTGAACCCTGAGAATCAACATCACCTGGGACCTTTCTGGAAAAAAAAAACTGTCAGCCTTTAGCTAAGAAGGGACTAGAATCTGAGTTTTACAAATTCACTGGATTATTTTGATACGTGCTGAAGTTTGAGATCCCCTAGATTAGACCATATTTTATGGACATTGTCAAATTGCTATTTTCAAATAGGCTAAAGCAAAACCCAGTATTTCACACTCCAGAGGATTCAGATGAAGAATGAAAAATTACTTACAGTGAAATACCTTAAGCATACATACAGACATAGATAATTTTTAAAAAATGAACACTCAGCTGGTGGGGTTACAGGTGATCGAGTGAAGCACACCAGCCCGCAAACTCACCTAATATTTGAACACAGACAACAATCCCATGCAGAATCATGTGCTCTTTTTATCTTCTGATTAATCTGGAATAGTTCAAATCTACTTGAAAAATGTGAGTTATGAGTGGAATCGAATAATTCTGTCAAAGTTTAAAAACTATTTGGGGAATTTTACTCCTTAAATAGTTTTTACCCCAAAATGAATGTGGGTATATATATATATTTTTCCTTGTAGTCTGTCTTCCCATCCAGAACATAATCTGTTTCCTTATACCTAATATTTTCACTGCTCCATAAATTTTAGTGTTCTTCACTAGTTCACATTCATTTAACTTTAAGATTTTTAAAGTGCATTTTATATTTTATGGCTATTTTATTTTATTTATTTTTACGTCTATTTTAAATTAAATGTGTTATATTCCCTGCTATTATATACTATTTGTGCTTATACATGCACATATATATTTAACTCCAATCTGGTAATATTAATACTATTTTTATAACAAAGATGTATTAGTGCTTTTTTGTACTCTGCTTATACAGATATATCACTATAAATACTGAAGGAGGGAATTAATAAAGAAGATCTGAAGTGTATAAACATAAAGATAACAGACAATATCAAAATTAAATATATATTTTAAATAAAGGGCAACATAGGTAATGAACAAGTAGGTAAAAAATTAGAGGATATTTGCAATATTTAAACTAACATGAGATGAATAACTAAAATATTTAAGAAATAATATCAGTGATTGTTGTATTCTTTATATCTATATGATGTTACTTATAAAATTATTAAATAATTGCAAACATTATTTTTATGTGCTAATTTTAGGGAGGATTTTTCTAATATAAAATCATGAAGTATAATGTTAATTATTTATTTGAAGTAAATATTATATAACCAATAAAATTATCCTTCTAAGTTTGTGACATTTTAAAATTATAAATAAGTTAATCAATCAAAATCATTTGAAAATAATAAAATAGTGTGCTTTTTATCTTACTTACTAAAAAATATGACATTACCTGATATTAAATCATCCTTATAAACCCTGATATCAATTTAATCCTAAATGCAATTGTTTTTATACCCAGGATGTTTCCAATAATAGACCAAGCCCTTACTTCTCTGTGAGTGATACTTTGATGTGCCCAAGTACCCATTAGCAACTTCCTGTGAATATATACTAGGCACCTCAAACTTAGTATGTTCAAAATTGACATACTAAGTATGACATACTTAGTTTATCAATTATGACATACTAAGTATTACAGTAGGAAAAAGAACTTGTAAAAAGACACTAATAAATTATATTCAACTCTTTTAAATTTAGCTTTCTTATAAAAAACAAATTGTTAGACAATTGTTATGCACAGTGCTTTACTAAGCAAATCACATAAAACTTTCTAGAATGGACATTCATTCTCTTCATTTGAAAATGGCAACAATGCTATTATTCAAATTCTTTGAAAATTAATCAGTGCTATACAATAGTAAGGTGTAGCATGTCCACACAATGGAAATTACTTGACAATGAGAATGAACAAACTTCTGATAAATGCTAGAACATGAATTTCACAGGCTATGCTTAGTAAAAGAAACTAGACACAAATGATTACATGCTATAAAGCTCCATTTATATGAATTTCTAGAATAGGCAAAACTAATCAATGGTAGCAAAAAATAGTAAGAATGATAGTTTTGGGATGAGTAGAACTGATTGAGAAGAGGCACAAAGGTACTTTTGGCTGTCTGATCGGTCTGGCTACACCAGCAGGGAAGTTTTGGAAGTAATGTTAATAGTCTGTATGTTGATGGGGTTTGAATTGCACAGGTATACACATCTGTCAAGTCAATAAATGTGCATTTTGGATTTATGTATCTCATTTAAATAAAATTTATCTTAAACTATAAACACAAAAGAATAAATATTCCTTTTCTTACTAAGAATTTCTAGTTCCTTAAATGTGAAAAAAGGTGAATTTGACTTGTATCAAAAAACCTCGTCCTCTTAATCATTGCCTGGATGAATGAGGGGGTTCTCCTTGTTATTTTTACTTTACTGCATGGGATTTTTACCTCTGGCATTCCTTGCGGAGAGAAAGCACTGAAAGGTGGCACAACATCTGAAACATTTTCGTATCCTGGAGGAGGTGGTTCAAAAAATGAGGTGTTGAAAATCTAGGGAAACAAAATACAATAATCAGAAGTAAATCAGGTAAAGTTTGATTACCACAATCAAATACGGAAAACCATGTATTATCTTTTTTGTCAGTAGATGGTTAATCAATCTGTCAGTATTTTGAGTATACATATTAAATACCTAGCATTGTGAGATGCTTTTTATTCATTGTGAAATGAATAAATTATAGACCCTGAGAGAATCTGTAAATGCCATCTTTTGATTTAGGAGAAAAGTTTTATTATGCAAATGAAAAGTAACATTGTATATTATTTGTAGTCACAACAGTGCAAAGATAAGTACTTAGGAACAAATTAAATATTAAATGCACTTCAATAAAAAATTACATTTTGGGGGGATCCCTATCTGATAGAATCTAGATATCTTTTTTTTTAAGATTTTATTTATTTATCTTTAGAGGGGAAGGGAAGGAGAGAGGGAGAGAAACATCAATGTATGGTTGGTTGCCTTTCATGAGTCCCCTGCTGGGAACTGGCCTGCAGGGAACCAGCCTGCAACCCAGGCATGTGCCCTGACTGGGAATTGAACCTCGATTGTCTGGTTCGCAGGCCTGCACTCAATACACTGAACTACACCAGCCAGGGCTTTCCTCTTATCTTTTTTTGATTGGTTAATCTTAGTTTTATTTCTATTGGTAGTTTGGAAACTGAAAAAATTGGATTCCTACTTAACAAAGTTACAGCAAATATCAAAAACAAGGATGAAACATTAAAAACATTCCCCTCAAGTCAAGGATATCTGCCATCACCACTTTCTTTCAACATTAGGCCAGAACAGTAATACAAAGGATGATGGGAGTTGGGGAGCGAATCTGGGCCGATAGCATGTTGTACTAACTGAAGCTGACAGAACCTAACATGACACTGAATCAACTCCTACCGCCCCCCCCAAAATCCGCACATCTTCCATATTCTCCATAACTTTTCTGCGACCCATATAGGGTGCAAAGTCATCTGAATCACTGGGAAAGATTATTTAAAAATGTACTTCAGTGCCATAAAAATCCATCTAGAAAAGAAGTCACTACATCAGCAAGTCTTTCAGCCAACACAGTATTCAAACTTGTCTCACTTGATTTGCCTTTATACTAATCTTCAATTTTACAGCACTACTGAGCAAGTAAATTCTAAAGTGAGTTTATGAGTTATTCTAACAGCTAGCAAAAGTTTTTTAAGGTCAAGGCAATTGCTTTCTTGGGTGACTCTTTCAAAGGTACGCTACACACAAGTGAACATTGCTCATGTTCCAGGATTCACTAATATAGTTTCAAATTTGGTATTTTGAGCACAACTAAAATATGGCTTACAAATTTCTATTTACTTGTTAGGACAAAAAGCCAGTATATAGTTCAATTTATATAGTATGTTATCTCTACAGAAACAAAGGTAAAAGAATGTATCTGTATATATTTAAAATATTTCTGGAATCTACAAAACACTAATATCTGTCACTTGTGAGAGGTAGATCTTGTCTGTGTTGCACAGGAGAATAGAAGTTTAGAGTTTACAAATCAACAAACAACAAGTATTGGAGAGGCTGTGGAGAAAAGGGGACCCTAATTCATTGTTGGTGCGATTGCAGATTTATACAACCACTATGGAAAACAGTATGGAATTTTCTAAGAAAACTAAAAATGAATCTGCTTTTTGACCCAGCAATTCCACTGCTAGGATTACATCCTAAAAACCCTGAAACATCAATCCAAAAGAACCTATGCACCCCAATGTTTATAGCAGCACAATTTATAATAGCCAAGAGTTGGAAGCAACCTAGGTACCCATCAGTAAATGAATGGATCCCAAAACTATGGTACATTTACACAATGGAATTCTATGCAGCAGAAAGAAAGAAGGAGCTCCTACCCTTTGCAACAGCATGGATGGAACTGGAAAGCACTATGCTGAGTGAAATAAGCCAGGCAGTGAAAGACAAATACCATATGATCTCACCTTTAACAGGAAGCTATACAATAAAATAAACAAGCAAAATATAACCAAAGACACTCATATAGAAAACAGGGGGACAGTGACCAGAGGGAAGACGGGAGGGAATTTTAGGGAAAAAAGGGGAAGAATTTACAGGAACTAGTATAAAGGACACATGGACAACAACTAAAAGGGGTGAAAATGGGAGGGAGGGAGGGATGGGAGTAAAGGACAGAAAACTGTACTTTTACAGAAAACTGTACTTGAACAGTAATTAAATAAATTTGAAAAAAGAAGTTTACAGTTTACCACATATTTCAGCTACAAACATTTGCAATAACTAAACTGCCCTGGGAAATGAAGGGGCAATAAGAGAGCATTTGTATATCAGGACGGAGTGATGAAAATGGAGCTGAACTGTCAGAATGTCAAAAAAATGATGCCTAAATCTGAAACACAAGCAATAATAAGCATGGTATCTAAGTAAATAGAGGTAAATATCAAAAGAAAGAGCTCATGGTTGAATAGCGTTTGCCTCAGGGAAGGGAAACTAGGACGGAAACGAGGGGCTTTGGAGAGCTATGTGACTCCACGCACAGGTGTGACTTGGATTAAAATCTACATGAAAACAAATATATATATAAATAAAAATAGACTAATGATATAACTTAAAAGTATTAAAAACCTTTAGGCAACTAACACCATTCAGGAAAATCTCCAAAATGAAATTTCTACATGATATATTATGTAACAGGCTTTAGAAATTCCATAAATAAAATAATATAAAAATATTATTTTAGTAATGCTAAAATTATTATTATTATTATTTAAGTAGTGATATACAAGTATTTATTCCGTGAATACTTGTAATCACGAAAATAGCTAAATGCAGAAACAAAAGCAAAGATACAGGCAAAACTGGAGTTTAAGAAGAAAGAAAAGGACTGAAAGTTTGCTATTTTCCTGATTGTACATAGACAATCCCCAAATTCGATCGATCAAGATAGAGGTTTAAGCATATGTATATTTTTCACATTATCAATAATGATCAAGCTTCATCACTGAAAAATTTGGATGGGCATACTTGAAGTTATATACGATTTAGAAGACCCAGCCAAGAAAAAGACTAGAGGAGACTAGCTAAATGGAAAGGGTTTATTATAGTAAGGTATCATAACTCTAAAAATAAGATAAGCTAACTAGCAATGAAGATGAGTTCTGAGTTTTCATACTGAACACATTTCATATTAAGAAATAGCCTCCATTACTTGTATTATCTTCTCTTTCTTAAGTATGTTCTCTAACTTGGAAACAAGATTGTAAGCTTTTTAGACTACAACTTCCTGATGGAAATGTAGGTAAACATACGTCACCTCCTTGTGCAACCACAGGGGGAAAAGAAAACTATACCTCAAAACAAATAATACCCAGAACCATCAGAAAAATTGAGCTGTATGGAAATCTGACAACCAAGGATTTAAAGAAGCCACATTCATCCAGACGGGTAGGAGGGGCAGAGAAGCGAGGATGGGTGGAGAGGCGTGGAGGCAAGGTCTGGCACTGAAAGGTGGTGGCAGCAGAATGGGCAGTCTCTCCTTCCCGAGTGATAGATAAAAATCAGGAGGGTTACCTTGGGAGTGAGCAATCCTAGCCCCAGTCCAGCCTGCTCAGCTCAGGGTTCCAGTGCCAGGAAGATAAAAATCCCATAACGTCTGGCTGTAAAAACCAGTGGGAGTTAGGGCAGCAGAAGAAACTGCTGGATTCTCAGGAGACTCTGTATAAAGGGCCCACATGCACTAAAAACATGCAGACATACCCCTGTGGCATTCAGCATTAGGACAACAGCTGGAAGGACAACAGTTTGCCATTCACCAGGCAAACCTCCAGAAGCCAGACAGTGGTATTGTCCCTCTCCGAGCCCTCCCCTGACACAGAGCCACAAAGTGATGAAGCTGGTTGTCCTCACACATTTTATAGGTGACTTTTCTGCAATCGGCCATGCTACTAAGACAGTAGTCAAAGCACCTCTACCTAATACAGAGAAACAAATGCATGGAGGAGACAAAGAAACATGTTCAAATGAATGAACAGAACGAAACACCAGAAAAAGAACTAAATGGAACGGAGATAGCCAAGTTATGAGTTGCAAAATTCAAAATACTGGTGATCAGGATCACTGAGCATGGCAATAAAATAAAAAACACTCAGGAGGAAAGGAAGTTTACACTAAATGAAACAAAGAAAAATCTACAGGAAACCAGCAGTGGTGGGGTTGAAGCTGGGATTCAAATCAACAGTTTGGAACATAAGGAAAAAATGAGCATCAACAAGAACAGCAAGAAGAAAAAATAATTTTTTAAAAAGCAAGGATAATATAAGGAGCCTCTGGGACACCTCTAAATGTACCAACATCTGAATTGTAGGGATGCCAGAAGGAAAAAAGAAAGAGCACAAAATCGAAAACTTATTTGAAAAAATAATGAAAGAAACTTCCTTAATTTGGTGAAGGAAATAGACATATAAATCCAGGAAGCACAAAGAATCCCAAACAATTTGGACCCAAGTAGGACCACACCAAGACATATCGTAATTAAAATGTCAAAGGTTAAAGATAAAGAATCTTAAAAGTAGCAAGAGAAAAAGCAGACAGTTAGCTATAAAGAATTTCCCATAAGACCGTCAGCTGATTTCTCAAAAGAAACTTTGCAGGCAAGAAGGGACTGGCAAGAAGTATTCAAAGTGATGAAAAGCAAGGGCCCACAGCCAAGATTACTCTATCCATCAATGCTATCATTTAGAATGGAAGGGCAGAGAAAGTGCATCCCAGAGAAGGTGAAGCTAAAGGAGTTCAGCATCACCAAGCCATTATTACATGAAATGTTAAAGGGACTTACTTAAGAAAAAAAAGATCAAGACTATGAACATTAAAATGGCAACAAATTCATAATTATCAACAACTGAATCTAAGAAAACAAACCAAAAAAACACAACAGGGACAGAATCATAAATACAGAGATCATATGGAGGGTTATCAATGGGGAAGGGAAAGGGGAAAAATGGGGGGAAAGTATAGGGGTTAAGAAGCATAAATGGTAGGTTTAAAATAGACAGGGGAGTGTTAAGAATAGTGTAGGAAATGGAGAAGCCAATGAACTTATACATCTAACCCATGGACATGAACTAAGGGGTGGGTATTGCTGGAGGGAAGGGGGTCAGGTGGAGGGGGCCAAAGAGGGAAAATTGGGACAACTGTAATAGCATAATCAATAAAATATCTTTAAAAATGTTAGACTAAATATCATTCTATATATAGTCTTTCTCGTCAAACACTCTCCCCTCCAAATGCTCACAACTGACTTCTGGGTACAGAGCTAAAAAGATGACCATATGAGAAATCATCATTGAAAACCAATAAAAACCTGCTGGCTAAAATTTCCGAGCAAGCCCAAACCCATGCAGTATCTTTTATAGTCTGAAACTATAAAAAAGTGTATCTATTTTAGTTACCTGGAAGCTTACTAATATCTCATATTGTATATTAGTCCACACTACTAAAAATAAAAAAGCAGCTGTTATCAACCATTAATTTCTCAGAATATTTCCAATATCACATTAAATTCAAACATGATAAGAAAATTGATATTTGCAATCAGATATTAAAGGCATCATTAGCCAGTTTCAATAATATTGATATCTATCAATAATTGGAGAGGTTACAGTACATTGTTTCATAGGAAGTGTTTGAAAAGGAAAGTTCTTTTTTATTTTTTTTACCTCATTTCCATTTTCATCAATTATTGAGATGTAGTTGGGATGACTCTTATTTGGATAGGACAACAGGACATCATAATGGGCTAACTCAACAGAATCCAGGCCAAAATCTTTCCACTGAGATTGAATTTGCTTTGCAAGCTGGAAGTTTTGTTCTGTTCCTGCTAAATGTGGAATCCGTGTAAAATTACTGGTGAACAAAAAATGAAAGTGGTTAGAAATCTCAAATTAACTGACAAAGGCAGATTTACATAAATACCTCGAAATGGGATACATTAAAAAAGGAAAATGGTTGTATTATTGCGTCAAATCGATTTTCAAAGTATATTTTTAAGTTTTCATGCTCTAATTTGTATTTATTCAAGGGGAAACTGGAGAAACTGATCAGCATAGAGAACTGTTATGTACAACCCTGTGGACATACCGCTGCATACGGGTAAGGGGAGTGTTATAGTCTTTTCTTAAGAGCCACTCATCGTAGAACTTTCATGGAATCGCCTGTCTTTATTTCACTGTGCAAAATAATTTGAAGGATACAAATATTTTCATCCAAAATACCAAGTTGCAATTTGCCAACAATTACTGATAATTACATTTCTTCTTAAATATTGAAAGTTATAGTCAAGTGAGAAACCTTTTGATTAAAAAACACTTGTAAATGGAAGTGTCTTCATTAAGGAATAATCTGGGCCTATTTACACAGGCTGAAACTGACCTTTGTGTGCTCTATCCATCATGCACAGTAGCAGGCACACTTAAAAGTCTATGATGAGAATTAGTTTGACCAGGAATATTTTTTACATATTGATTTTCTTAAGAGAATGAGGAAGGGAGAGAGAGAGATCTATTTGTTGTTCCACTTACCTGTGCGTTCATTGGTTGATTCTTGTGTGTGCCCTGACTGTGAATTGAAACTGCAACCTTGGCCTATGGGGATTACACTGAAACCCACTGAGCAAGCTACCTGTTCAGGGCTGACTAGGAATATCTTTAACAACTAAATTATTAGGCCAAAATTTTGTCTCCTAGATATATTTTCATAAGTAGACTAATTCCTCATTTAATATGTATAGCTACTTGTGCTTTTGTTGGTTTTAATTTTTTACTCCTGGAAATTTGTTATTTCCAATGAGCATTAAGTTCATTGTTATTTTCAACTTAAGCTTCTTAAAGGAAAAAATAAAATTCTACATGTCAAAGCATCATATATTATGTAAAGACATTGGTTTATTTCTAGTTCATGAACTTCCCGAATTTATGAATTTCTGGCTCTAACTATGTAGGTCTTACAAAAATCAACACACTTCCATCCTTATGGCAATTTTTTAAAAATTTACAGGAAACATGTCTATGACAATTCCAATTTCAAATGTCTAATTCTACTGTGTATCTAAACTTTTTATTTAAAAAATCAATTGCCAAGAAAAATAACTCAGTTTTAAAAGTTCCTGTGATTAATTTTTTTATCCTTATCTTAGAACATGCTCATTGATTGTGGAGAGAGAGAAACATTGATCAGTTGCCTCTCACATGCTCCCCCACTGGGTACCAAACCCACAACCTAGGCACATGCCCTGACAGGAAATAGAACCCACAACCCTTTGGTTTATGAGACAATGCTCTAACCTACTGAGCCACACTAGACAGGGCTCCTGTGATTACTTTTTATAATTATGTTAAAATAATTTATCTATTATTTTAATAATATAATTGTTATTTAATAAAATAAGATAATTATATTTATTAAAATCCTCATCCAGTAAATTCTTAAGGTCTTAACACCTACATAGTATTTCTAATGTATATTTTCAAAATACAGTAACAAAAGAATACAATTTTTATTGACTTTATTGGGGTGACATTGGTTTACAAAACCACACAGGTTTCAAGTGTACAACTCAACAAAACATCATCTGCCCACTGCACCGTGCACCCGTCACCCCAAGCAAAGCCTCTTTCTATCTCTCTTTTCCTCCCTTTTGCCACCATCACTTATCTCCCCCGCTTCCCTTTCCAGCTGGCTAATGGCTATCACCACATTCTTATCTGTATCTGTATTTTATGTGTATATCTATGTGTGTGTTTTTTGTTTAATCCCTTCACCTTCTTTCATCCAGCTCCCCAACTTTTTTTCCCTCTGACCACTGTCAGTCTGTTCATTGTATCCATATTTCTATTTCCATTGTGCTTCTCAGTTTATTTTGTTCATTAGATTTCATATATAGGTGAGATCATATGGTATTCATCTTTTTCTGACTGGCTTACTTAACTAAGCATAATAATCTCCAATTTTATCCATGCTGTCACAAAAAATATATAGCATTCCTTTATATAAAGGTACCACAGCTTTTTTGTCCACTCATCTACTCATCTGTGCACTTGGGCTGTTTCCAGATCTTGACTATTGTGAATAATGCTGCAATGAACATAGAGGTGCACATATTCTTTCAAATTAGTATCTCAGGTTTCTTCAGATATAGACCCAGAAGAGAGATCAATGAGTCCAAAAGAAGTTCCACTTTTGTTTATTGAATTTATTGGAGCGACATTGGCTAATAAAATATGTTTTAGGTATATAATTCTATAATACATTATCTGCATATTGCATTGTGTGTTCATCACCCCAAGTCTTCTTCTATCATCATTTATCCTCCCTTTACCCTCTTCTACCTCCTTTCATCCCCTTGCCCTTTTATTTTTGATTTTTTAAAGAAACCCCACACTGCTTTCCGCAGTGGCTGCATCACACCAACAGTGCAGGAAGTCTCCCCCTTTCTCCACATCTTTGTCAGCAATTAATTTGTTGATATATTGATGACAGCCATTCTAAAAGGCGTGAGATGGTATCTCATTATGATTTTAATTTGTACCTCTCTGATGATTAGTGACATGAAGCATTTTTTCATATGTCTATTAGCCATCTCTATGTCCTCTTTGGAAAGTACCAATTCAGTCCTTTGCCAATTTTTCACTTGAGTTGTTTGTATTCTCACTGTTGAATTGCACGAGTTCTTTATAAGTTTTGGAAATTGACCCCTCCTCAGATGCATCATTGGCAAATATATTCTCCCATTGTGTGTGTTCCCTTTCCATTTTGTTGATGGTATCTTTTTCTGTGCAAGTTTTTCAGTTTGATGTAGTCCCATTGTTTCTTTTTCCCCTTTGTTTTCCTTGCCCAAGGTGCAAAAATATTGCTACTAGGAATGTCTGACATTTTACTGCTCATGGTCTCTTCTAGGATTTTTATGGTTTGGCAACTTACATTTTGAGTTTATAATTGTGTATGATGTAAATTAGTGATGTAGCTTTTCTTTTTTTTTTTTTGCATGTATCTCTGCAATTTTCCCAACACAGTTTATTGAAGAGACTGTCTTTACTTTATTGTATTTAAGCCTTCTTTGTCAAATATTAATTGACCAAATGGTGTGGGTTTATTTCTAGGCTCTCTGTCCTATTCCACTGATCTAGATGCCTGTTCTCCTGACAGTACCATGCTGTTTGGTTTACTACAGCCTTCCAGTATAGTTTGAAATAAAGTTGTGTAATACTTCACACTTTGTTTTTCCTTCTTAAGATTGTTGAGGCTATTTGGGGTCTTTTGTGGGTCCATATAAATTTTTGGAATATTTGTTCCAGATCTCTGATATATGCCGTAGATATTCCAATAAGAATTGCATTGAATCCATAGATTTCTTTGGGTACTATGGACATTTTAATGTTAATTTTCTTGTCCGTGAACACAGTATATGTCCTACTTATTTATATCCTCAATTTCTTTCTTTAGTATCTTACAATTTTTCAAATATAGGTTTTTTTACCTCCTTGGTTAAATGTATTTCCAAGTACCTTATGTTGTTGGTTGTTAAAATAGTAAATGGGATTTCTTCATTTCTCTTTCTGATAATTCATTGTTAGTGTATACAAATACCACTGATTTTATGCCCTACTGGCATGGATCAGTGGATTGAGCACTGACCTGTGTGTTTCTTTCCCAATTAGGACACATGCCTGGTTTGCAGGCTGGTCCTTGGTTGTGGGTGTGTGAGAGGGAACTGATTGGTGTTTTTCCCCTTCTCTTTCTCCTTCCCTTCCCCTCTCTCTGAAAATAAATAAAGCCTTTTCTAAAAATGCTACCAATTTCCAAATATCAATTTTGTGTCCTGATACTTTGCAAATTGATTTTGTAAGATCTAGTTTTTGGTGGGACCTTTAGAGTTTTCTATATAAAATATCATGTCCTCCATGAACAATAGTTTTGCTTCTTTCATTTCAATTTGAATGCCTTTCATTCTCCTTGTCTGAATGTTGTGGCTAGTACTTCCAGTACAATGCTGAATAAGAATGGTGGAAGCGGACATCCCTATATTGTTCCCTATCTTAAACAAAAACACTTCTTAGTTTTTGCCCACTGAGTATTATGTTGACTATGGTTTGTCATATGTGGACTTTACTGTGTTGAGGTATGATCTCTCTATTCCCACTTTGCTAAACATTTTTATCATAGATGGGTGCTTGATTTTATCAAATGCTTTTTCTGCATATATTGATATGATCACATGACTTTTATCCTTCATTTTGTTTATGTGAAATATCATGTTTATTGATTTGTGAATATTGTACCAACCTTGCATCCCCAGAATAAATCCCACCTGATCATGGTGTATGAAATTTTTAAAGTATTGCTGGATCCAGTTTGCTAATATTTCTTGAGGATTTCAACACCTATCTTCATCAGGGATATTAAATTTTTTTCTATGAATTTTTTTCTTCATAGTGTCTTTATCTAATTTTAGAATTAGGATAATACTGGCCTCATCAAAAGAGCTTGGAAGTCTTCCTCCTCTTGAATTTTTTTGAGTAGTTTAAGGATAAGCATTAGTTCTTTGAATATTTGGTAAACTTTGCCTGTGAAGCCATGTGGTCCAGGATTTTGTTTTCTAGGAGATTTTATTTGTTTGTTTGTTTGTTTTCACTACTGCTTTGATTTCATTAGCTGTAATTGGTCTAATCAGGTTTTCTGATTTTTCCTGAATTAATTTTGAAAGATTGTATGTTTCTAGCAATTTATGCATTTTGCCCAGGTTGTCCAATTTATTGGAATATGTCATTCATAGTATTTTCTAACAATTCTTTGTATTACTGTGGTGTCAATTATTACTTTTCTGTTGTTTCTGCTTTTATTTATTTGGGTCTTCTCTCTCTTTTTCTTGATGAGTATGGTTTAAGGTTCATCAATCTTGTTTATCTTTTCAAAGAACCATGTCCTAGTTTCACTGATCTTTTGCATTGTGTTTTTTTCAGTCTTTATGTCATTTATTTTTGCTCTAATCTTTATTATTTCCTTCCTTTTATCTATTCTGGGAAAAGAACACAATGTTAAGAGGCAGCTGAGAAATCTATCTATTCCTTCATCAGTGTAGACCTACCTTCGGCCAAACAGCAAACATGCTGCTATTTTCTTCTGTATTACAATACACAGATCACAAACTGTGATGTAACTGAAGTGGATGTAGATTATGTACATTTCCTGAAGTCACAGATAGAACTCTGTCTCTACAAGTGAGAACAGTTGTTATGGGGAATCTTGAACATGCTCACGAGAGAGAGAGAGAGACAGAGAGACAGAGACAGAGAGAGAAATACTTTATCAGACTTTGCTATAATGAGTGACATTTGTTGCTGTGTATCAACTAGGATTCAACCATGTGCTATGATAAGGTTTGAACCCCTTCATTTGGAGCAAAGTTGATCCTAAAAAAGATAAGTAGGAAAAAAAGACTGCTTTTCATGATAAATAAATTGGCATAAAATCAGATTAAGTGGTGTATTAAAGGTTTTGTTAGTAACTTTTATAACCCTGGCCATGTCTTAAATTTCTCATCTATACATGGGGAGACTAATGCCACCTCACTAGTTCTCAAGGATTTGTGGTTCAGTTAGATAACTGGTATTAAACAGCAGATTTGACATTTTTTACTGTTTTAATCAATTGAGAAGTATGTCACAGTCTTTGTGGATGCTTCGAGATTATCAATTTTTAAGAAAACAGTAATAATTTATAAAGTGTTCAAAATCTATAACAACTCGTATTGGCAAATTAGGAATCTGGAGAGTTCAGAAGGCTTTTGGAGATTCTGCAGTCCTTGCAGGGATGAGTGGGGTTCTCCTAATCCTTCTCTTTTGTGTGTTAATGATAAACAACCTTGAATTCTGAGCAGTTGGAGCAGCTTGGTCAGGGCTACAGAATAAGCAAGAAGCTGACTGCTTCTATCTTGCTCAAGGGTCCAAAAGGAAATAAACAGAAGGCATCCTTTTTTTTTTCTGGTCAGTCCATGCCACAGGTTTGGAAAGGAAGAAGCAGGAACAGCAGCTCTTAGAGCAAATATTAAATCTTGCCAGACCTCCATTATCATTGTATCTATTATACCTACTTATAGTGAAAGAGCAAGTGGCTGGGGAGGGAGTTCCAAAGTTCAAGCTTCAGGGCCCCTCAGTTAAAATGGCCCTTCCAAAGACCTGGGAGGTACCCCAGTAAGTTTTTGTTCACAGTTTTAGTTCTCTTAGAATTAATATAGACATACATGTTTATATGATTATGTGCATACACATTTATGCATATATATATGTAAAACTGTCCTTTTTATAAAATTAGAACCTGTATTCACTAAAGAATTTTTCAATCACTAAGTATTTTGGGACTCGTGCACTAAGGAAATTTGTTTTTTTAAAAAGAGACTTTATGCTTTGAAAAGATAAATATTCTAATACATTACATGTAATTATTCTATACAAAAGATTTCTTTTAGTTGCTTTGCAAACAGTTTTTAAATTTATTTATTTACCTCTTTGGCTTTATACTAGAGACAGCTATTCAGGAAATAGGAAGCTAGATTGTGAACAATGTCACATACATGCTCTCTAAGTTCATCCTCATCACTGTCCTTATTTTATAGATGTACAAAGAAGGGCTCAGGAAGGTTAAGTATTCACTTAAGGTTACTTTGCTATTAACGAGCAAAGATGAAATTTAAACTTGAAATTTAAACTCAAATATGACAGACTCCAAAGTCCAAGTTTATTCTTTTGACCAAAATATACTATCTTCCTCTAAAACAGCAGATGGGAAAATAAATTCCACTGACCAAATTCAGCACATTCCCTGGTTTTATATAGCCCATGCCTAAGAATGGTTATCACATTTCAACAGGTAAAAAATCATGAGAAATGTTTTGTGACATAATTATATAAAATGGAAGTTTTAGCACCCATAAGTAAAGTTTACCAAAACGGCCACATTTATTCCTTTATGCATTTTCTATGGCTTCTTCTGTGCTACACTATCAGAGCTGAGTAGTAGTGACAGACATGAGCTGGCCAGCAAAAGCAGGCTTTGTACACAGAGTTTGCTGATTCCTGCTTTAAAACATCCCTATTGGTAAAGTTCAGATAAAATATATAATCCTGTCCCTATAAAATGTGACACAAGATCTTCAACAAATGAAACTAAGTGAATAAATAAAGTCAGTTCCTATATACAAAATATTGGATCAAAACTTTGAAACAGACTAAAACTTTCCAACAAATTCTCCATGTGAACTTTCAAGTACATGCTTACTATAAGAACTTTTTGATGTTCTCAGCTTTCAATTCATCCAAAAATGCCTTCTTCACGTTATGCTGTGGAACAAGGTTAGTAGCTTCTTCACTGGAGGATTTTATAAACCACCCTGTAGAATACATGCAAATATAGGTGTGAGAAGTGAGCTCACAGACAGGCCCTAATTTTTCTTATTGCTATCTCCATCATATATAAAATATAACTTACCAATGACCTCCAGCAGTCACTGAAATTTTCTAAAATTTAATGTCTCTTGCCTACTTCTACTGGAGAAAAAAAATCACACGCACGAACTTCTAAATTACAAATCAATTGCAACATATATTTTATTCAGTTTCAGTGATAATTGCTGTTTCTCTAAGAAATGTTTCATGAGGAAATCTGCACTAAAATTAATATTTCAATTAATGGAGATGAACAAGATCTCTTGAAAATCAAGATAAAAATGAGATCCATTTTTCCCTTAAAGCTTTTATCCACAGTCACTGTTCACTGCTGATCCAGAATAAACATTTAATCAATGTTTACAATGAACTAATTATGAATATACTTCAAATACAGAAGTTATTTCAAAGAGTTGAAGGAAACTTAGACCTATAATTTGTTCTGTCTCTGAAACTAAAAGAAAATATGCTGAGAGTTTATGTTTCTTGTTGCAGTAGGCTTGATAAGTTCAACTTCAGAAAGCTAGAGCGAACTGTAATCAACCCAACATTCCTGCAAGACACCTAGCGCACAGAGGCCAGAGGCAATGGGGGTAGTAAGATAACACAGAAGTAAGCCCTTGTGGTTGGCTTTTAAGCTGAGGGAAAGGGGCATGATTACAGGATTTATTTAGAGAAATGACATGATCCGGGCATAAAATGATGACCAAAATCAGCACCCGGCCAGCCTTCATGGAACTTTCCAGTAATTAATCACACGCACAGACACACAGAGGTGTACTGAAATAAATGGTTGGCAGCAAATGGAAATACCGTCCCACCTGTACGCAAAACAAAGGATTAGCCTGTGGGACCTGGGAAGGACGCACTGAGGATTAAATGCTCGAACTGAGGTCTGGAGAATGAATAGGATGAAGAGGAGGGAGGCCTGTGGGGGAGGGGAGAGCAGACAATTCTAGGGAAGAATAAACAAATATTAATAAAGAACCTGTTCTGTGTCAGCCACTGAGCAGTGAATACGAGGATGCTGCTCAGGTCTAAATTAGGAATAATATGCCCTGAAGAAATACAGATTTTAATTCCCACGCCAACCTTGCTGTTCTTTACAGTTGAAAAGTCGAAACTTAATTTGAAGTGTGTCCTTCTTGAGCACCCATCTCACTCAAGCCCTGCGACAACCCTAGGCAGTCGCTAATAACCACATGTTAGTATGAGCAGAGTGTGGCTCAGTTCTTTTCCTATCCTAAAATCTATGCCCTGGTCTTCTGAATCCAAGAAAGGGAATCCAGAGTTCAGAACGCAGGCAAACTACCTGGCAATACCTTAGGTTAGTCCTGCGCATTAATGTCCCAATGAGAAGCCTCTCCTTATCAAGTATAGAAAAGCTCCGATACCCCAATTGTGTGCTGGGAACTCTACCTTCTGTTTTACTTACTATTCCCACCAAATTGCAGATGTTATCGTCATCATACAGATTGGGACAATGAGGCTAAAACAGGCTGGGTAACTTGTTCAAGGCCACGAAGAAGTGGCAGAGTCAAAATTAAAATTTAAGAGTCTGAGCTTGTCTGTGCTGCCCCTAGTTTTCTTAACGAGTTGGGTTAGGTCTGCAAATCGGTACATGGGACAGCAAAACAAAGAATCTGTATATAACGATCTCTTCAGAGAGCTGACAATGAGGTCAGAGAGTTCCCAAGTGTTTCTCTATTATTTACTCCCAAGGACGAAGGTAGGAGAAAAGTGCTCTCCTGAGGCAACGCTCAGATGTCTACCTAAGGCATACAAGCAGCAGCTTCAGGCACCAGCAGACGCAGACCCCAAACGGGCGAGTCATTTCATGCAAAGCGCCCTGCAGGAGCTGGTTCAACTGTCCAGAGAGTTGCCGCTCACTCTAAGAAGTACCAGTTTCCAGGGGCTCCAGCGGGAGGACCATCAGAAGTCCAGTTTCAGAGTCCCTCCCTTCTACTCTTTACTCTGGGTAAGAGCTTGTCCAGAGCCCTACCGTGAACCGCCCCCAGCAGCCCCCACCTAGTCCCCGGCGGCTCATCCCCACCTCCCCACACACCAAACCACAGTCCCCGGGCCCTACAGCGCAGACGGCCGGCGATTCCAGCAAAGAGTGGAACTGCCGGGCGGGCCCCGGGTGTGCCTGGCGGGCGCGCCCCTACCGAGGAGGAAGCCGAAGATGAAGAGTCCCGCGGCCAGCAGGGCCCCAGCGCAGAGCCAGCGCGTTCGGCGCCAAGCGACAAAGGTCCAGTCGGTTTCGTGAAGGGGATTCCACATCTCGCGGGGCGGGGTTAGGGCGGCTTCCTGGGACCTGAGCCTCTGCTGCAGCCCCACTGAGGGCCAAGGGCTCTCCACCTAGGACCGCGAGGATGGTACTGCCCTGCGCGCTGGAGTCCACTCTCAGCCCGGAGTCTGGTTTCTCCGCCCCCGAGGTATTTCCAGCCCCTCTGCACCAATCCCAGGGAGAGCGCGGCAATAGCTGTCGCTGGGGGAGGGGGGAGCACCCTGCCCCCTTGGAGAAACGCTTTAAAAAAGTGTACATTGAAAAGTTCTAGTTCTTGTTTATTTAAAAATGAAAGCTAAAAAAGGAAGAAAGGGAAAGAAAAAGCTACTCTCCTTTCTTCATTGCCAAACCAAAATCTGACTCGCGAAAAGAGAACCCAGGAGGATCGCCAGGGTAATTGAATAGAAGAACGCTTCCCTCTTGTCTGTCCAGGACAAGATGCACGGACCTCGCTCCAGGCTGGTTGGTGAACTAGACCGAGTGATCTCTCAAGTGCTTTGTTTCCCCAGTCCGGATCCTGTGAAATACTTTACAGCATTTTAATGAGTGAGGACTAGTAGGAAAAAAAGTGGTGCTGCGTTCTCTGTTGGATAACCAGGAGGAGGTGGTGTCCATCTGAATGGCCACTGTGCTCTTTCTCCTAACGAATGTCACTGATTTTCATAAACTTTTAAGAAATCATTCCCACCCCACCCTTTGAACCATTTTTAGAGAAATAATATTGGAACCTGCTGAAGGCAAGTTTTCCAGTTCAACCATTCATTTGTTCATTGAAAGTGTATTTATTAAATAGTTATTCTGTACCAGGAATTATGGGTACAAATATGTGTAAAATAAAGTCCCCCGCCTCAAAAAGGATCGCAGTATCTGGGATGATATACAAGTGAATGCAGTTACATTGTAGTATAGTAAATATCAAAATCAAGAGAAACAAGGGAGTATCCCACTGGGTTTTGCATTATTCTTCAAGTCCTCATATGAAACGTCATCTATCATCTTTCCTTCATAGTTGAAGAAGGGCAAACATGAGCCAGCCTCCCCCCACCCATCACTGCCTTCTGCCCCCAGCCAAGGGAAGGCTTTCATCAACCACACTAACCCTTAGTTGCCTCCTGTATAAAATAAATAATGGAAGTGACAACAGAAAAACCTAGTGTGGCTTGCATAACCACATATTACATATTTTTAATTCTTTTTTGGAAAGTCCTGATAATTACATGAACTAATTCATGTAAAACACATTGCACATTGCCTAGCATATAGAGTGTGCTAATAATATTCGTTAGTTATAAAAGGTATGTCCGCCACATTAGACTGTAAGTTCCATGAGGGGGGAGGAATCCTTTTCATAAGATCTGACAGGTGTTTAGTCATTCTCTGATACTAATACACTGATCCTTACTTTTCTTCAAGTTTAATTGTTAGCATTCTTTTAACATATTTTACTTTTATTTCCTTTCAGATTTTAAATTTCTTGGTGCTAGAGACCATATCTTATTCCTGTCTATTTTCCAGAGTTACATAATGCCTTAGCACATTAAAAACATCCTTTGAAATAATAACATGCTAAGCAATGGAGCAATTATGAGGTATAAGAAATAATTACTGTTATTGAAGAACTTTAGTCAAAGTGGGAAGACAGGGCCTAAATAAAAAGATAAATAACAATAGCAGAAAGCAGAAGCTATAAACCGAAAGAACAGCAACTGCTTGTGTTCAGGAGAGCATTATGGGTTCATTGTCCACACCCAATGTTTCATGCTAACCTCAATAGATCCTGCTGGAAGAACACCCTGAAATATATTCATGGGGTCATATGCCCATCCTTATACAGAAAATATATATATCTGGTCCTACTTTGTAGGTAGATAGATAAGGTAAAATATGACCTGACCATCATCTTCCTCTCGAAGGGCAGGAAATGGTAGATTCAGAATGGAAATATTAAATAAGGGAAAGGTAATGTACTTACTTGCCTTTGCTAATAGTCAGTCCTCAGCTTTTATAGAATCTCCAAAGCTCCCTGAGAAGAGGAATTGTGCCTGACAGAGCACTTGGCACATAATGGTTATGCAATGACTACTTTTAAATGAGTGAATTGTGTAGTAAATACCAGATGATGAAAAGTTAGTACCTAGTTACAAAGCTCTTTAAACAATAGAACCATATGGTACAAAATGAAAGTATGTAATGCAGGAATGAGAGAGAGCATTTTTGTTCTTTACTAATATGTACTTGTGTAAGTCATTAGTCTGGAAAGCATTTCTTAAATATCACCTTCGCCCAAGTACTGGGCTGGGTCATAGAAACACCAAATATATATATATATATATATATATATATATATATATATATATATATATATATATATTTTTTTTTTTGCTTAAGCCAGAATTCCTGACTCTGAAACGGCAGTGTTTGAGAAGCAGATTCTCGTAGGTAGTAGCTATTATGGCCCCCACCTGTGCCTGGCTAGAATCTACTACAGTAAATCCTCCCCCTCCCCATGCCCCTTATTTATGGTTTAGCTTTCTGCAGGTTTAATTTCTGTAGTTTCGATACAGGGTACAGCCAAGAGGGGGGCCCCCAAAAGGGATTTGGAATGGGGTCCAGACACCCTAAGTTGTCTAGGAGATATCAGAAAGACATATAAGGTGTCCTCACCCCTTCCCCCACAGGTGTGAGTTGGGAGAAGGGACACATGGAGCAGGAACATGCAGGGCTGTTTTGTACAGCAACAGCTTTGCAGCTAATCCAAGGCATCGTCATTTAACATATTTATAACCTTTGGCTGGTTGCTTAAATATCTTAAATAGCTGTGGCCATGCTTGAAGCCAGGGGGATGGAAGTCCCTCTCCCCAAGATGTAACTGGGGGAGGGGGGGCAGGTCTCCTGAGTTACATGCCTGGGTGGGAGCTTGAAGAAGATTGGCTCCATGACATGGGATGATTACCGCCCAGATTCATGATGACAGCCCAGGAAGCTTGGAATAATACAGGAATGCTGGCAGGTGTAACTGATTATAGGAGGAGTTGGAAATGGGGGTATAAAGGAAGATTGGCATGGGGATTTAAACCCAGACATGGTAGCCATTGGAGAGAGCAACTTTACCATAGTGGGGACCCCCTGTTGGCTTTGCCAGGAAAAGAGATCCATGTGGTTTGGCCAGAGTGCAGACTCCTGCAGCCTTGGTAGAAGAGGAACACACAGCTGCAGGGTGCTCCCTTTGGCCACATGGCCTGGAAAGCAGGAGAGACTTTGCCTGAAAAATGGGTACAAAGAACTGCTGCCAGTAGACCATGAGAAGGTGCCACATAGCTTTGGATTAATTAGAGATCCTGCCTGGATGGCAACATAACTGACGGTGCCAGGAGCCTGGATCCCAGACGTCTGCTTTTTTTCCTGAGTTAACGGTACCTCATATTAGGGCAGGGGGATAAGGAAGCACTGTGTGCATGTGTGGGTATCCTAAAGGACTTTGATATTTTAAATGAAGACGTTAGGTCACTACTTTAAGTGTGTATAGCATTAAATAAACATTTTCTTTCCTTTTCACAAATCTCTGGAATTGAGAGATATTTTACCTATTGGCAATGGACAATCAAGCCCAGTAGGGGGTCCTTTCTAATCATATTATTGCCCTTGGACCCCTGTGTTCTATAACAGTTTCAGTATGGAAAATTCCAGAGATTAAAAATTCCTTAGCTTACTGCTGTTCTGAATAGCGTGATGAAATCTCGGGACATCCCGCTCAGTCTCACTTCAGATGTGAAACATTGTTTTATTTAGCATATCCACACAGTATCTGCCGAGGTTATAGTGATGCTGGCAATTTGGATTAATAAAGGGAAACCATAAAGTGCTTCTTTTATGTAAAAAGTTGAGCATTTTTGACTTGATAAGGAAAGAAAGAAAATTTCTTTGCTGAGGTTGCTAAATTTCACAGTAAGAACAGAGTCCTCTACCAGTGAAGTCGGGATGAAGGAAAAAGAAATTTATGCTAGTTTCACTTCTGAACCTCAAACTGCAAAAATTATGGCCGTGGTGCAAGATAAGTGATTATTTAAGATGGTAAAGATATTAAATTTGTGAGTAGAAGGCAAGACATAGTCTGTCGTGGCCTGATGACCCTCCTGATGAATCTTCAGAAGTCCAGTAGCTGCCTAATGCTATGTGATCATAGCATATGATCACATGAGGCTACATCATTGCCTCACTTCATTTCCTCGTGTGGGCATTGTATTGTTTAACACCATCACAAAAAGGGTGAGTACAGTACAATAAAATATTTTGAGAGAGAGAGACCACATTCACATAACTCTTATTACACTGTATTGTTATAGTTGTGGTTTTATTATTAGTTAATTTTTTACTCTGCCTAATTTATAAATTACACTTTATTATTGGTATGTTTCTATAGGAAAACACAGTGTATGTAGGATTTGGTACTATCTGTGGTCTCAGGCATCTACTGGTGGTTTTGGAACATTTCCCCTGCAGATAAGGCAGGGCTACCATATACGTAAATCATAAAAAATAGTTGTGCAGGCTAATCAGCCTTGGAGAGACTGTATATAATCTAACTCTGTTAGGATGAAATTACTTAAAACAGCGATGACCAAGAATCCTAGTATTTTCCTGTGAACTCAGATGGAAGAAGGCTTGAAAGCTAAAACAGACACTTGTCTGATTAATTTTCTAAGGTCTGTACTTTATGTTTAACTTTCCAACTCAGAAACTGTATATGGATTCCAGTGAGCTATATAATGATTCTAAGTTTTTAAACAAAGCGCTGCAGGCTTTCTACATTTTAAGCTCCCTTTAACAGCATTCTCCATTAATTTTCCTGTCATATATTTTCATGTATCTTACTTAGTTTTGCTAATTCTATTTACTCATCTACAAAATAGGAATAACAAAAGTTCTATTTGCACATAGTGATTTAAAAAGTTTAGCAAAGAAGTCTGGCATTTAGATAACTGAATGAGTGACAAACATAGTCATTCCATATTTCCAAAAAATTTATATAAAATCATTATCTTATTTGATCAGATCATTTTAAGTAGACACTCATAAATGTACCCAGAAATCTCCTCTGTTTAAAACCAA